GGGGAGGAAGGGGTCGGGGTTCACTAGCGAACAACCCCCGACCAACTCGGGTGCGCGGGTGCGTCAGACCCGAATCCAAGGGAGGATCCCTGCGCCGCGAAGGCCCCGCTGTTGAAAATACCGAAACCGAAAAAATAAACACGCCGAAATAAAAATGCACTAAAAATCAAGAAAAACTAGACAGCGGGACCAAAAACTGTCCACGATTGCGACCTAAAATAAAATACCCAAAAATTACGACCCATTATTTTCTTTAACGTCCCGAAGCGGCACCGGCCAAGGCCGATGCCGCCCCGAGACGGAGGCAACGGCAACACGGGCGGCGGAAGAACGGAGATGGCTGAAAAAGAACGCTAAATGTAAGTACGGACCGAAGCGCCGCGCGGGCAGGCAAAATAAAGTACACCAAAAAAAATTTCAGACCTGACCATAAAAATTTTACCGCTAAGACTTGGATGCAACGACGAGGCTTATCTGATGACGCGGGCTCTTATCGCCCGAGCACGCGAGACGCGATAAAACACAGCGCTAAAACATCGGACGAAATCAAATCAATGGCGGAATACCGCCCTAGAGGCCCCCCAGCCAGAGAGAGTCAACGCAGCACATGTGGGCAAGGGTGATGGGCTGAGAGGGGGGAGAGAGCCCACCACCATGAGATGAGGGACAATTCCCTTAGTCCCCGGTCCTTTTAACGTGTTGCCTCACGCGAACACGCAAAAGAAATAAATATAAAAAAATATACGTGTATGGATGAAATGAAGCCCACATGCACCCCTCCCCAGCGTTCAGAGCCCCCAAGACAGCACCCCGCCACCGAAAAACAAGATCCAAAAAGGACGCCTAACCCTCGGATCTTTCCCCGTGATCCTTCCTCCAGGTCTGGGAAAACCAGCCCGGCAGTCTGCCACATCCACACTGTTCCTCTATTTACTCATTCGAAGGGGGAGGGCGAGTTTAACACGGTTCAAGACCCAAAGGCGACAGCCCAGAAAGATTCACTAAATAAAATCTCGCACACTCGGACGAATTAATTTCAAGTACAAATCATTTAAAATTACAATATTAAAATCGACAAATCCTTTCCTACCTAAAAATAAAGACCAAAAAAATGAAAAATCCTGCACTAAAAACTACGTGGCAAGCCACGCAAAATGGCCGACGGGCCAGCTCAATATTTAAAGACCAAAAATAAAACGGAAAGGTACAACCTGACGTTGAATCCAAGTAAAAAATCGTAGATCTGCCCGTCACGAACACTTCGGCCACTTTTTACAAAAAATTTCACCAAAAAATCACGAAATTACAACCAAATTACCGGAGCTACACAAAAGGCAGCCATCTCCGTTCACCGCGCTGACGTCACTCTAGCAGAGGTGTAGACATTTCTTCCGAGGAAAAAAATTGAATTGCAATCTTAATTTCAGAATTTTCTCTGTCTTGAAAACCTTTTCTCGCTTTACAAAAACTCCAAAGTAATTGTTGTGTCAAAAAAATTCAAAGGGGGCATACTAATATTTTTTCTTTTTCTCTCTCTCATTTAGAGAGATACAGTCTGGGCAGTCCACGCACATCACACACAGCCATAGCTCATGACACATTAAAAAAATACACAGATGTATTGTGTATGACCTTGGGACTGTCAAGGACTATAAATGATTTTAAAGCTAAGTAAGGGCAAATACAGCAGACTTTAGTTTCATTGTTGCTAGACCCAGAAACAAGGTTCGAGACCTTTGAACTTACATCAAGATTTAGTTTGTAAGTAGTTCTCTGTAATGTATGAATGAGAATGTCAGTGAACTGCAAAAGGAAGGATGAAAAAAACAAGTAATTAGGTACCTAGTAAGCTTATACACTAAAGTAATTTCTCAAAAGAAAAAAAAAAAAAAACACAAAAAAACACAAAAAAAAACAGAAAAATCCGTAATTTCTGTTCTTTCAGATAATTTGTATTATTTTACTTTACTTAGTTGCTTGATACCATTGTAAATTAAATGTAATTTAATTCATGCAGATAGATACGAAATATAAAGTACTAATAAGTTAGGTACAATATCTTTAAGCAAAATTTGCTTTAAATAAATAAAAAAAAAAAAGGAAACCAAAAATAAAAACCTACTTACTTGAAAATACTCCACTCCAGTTTTAGCGAATAAAGTATCCAAGTCAAGAAATTCAGGAGGGTTTCGGTGATGTTCTAGTCTTTGATCACTGGTTTCATCACTATCCATGAACCAAGCACGCACCATTTTCAAGAGAGTTCCACAGAGATAAGATAATAGTCTGAAAGTAAAAATTTCAGGAATATAGACAAGAGCTGTGTTCAGAGATGTCCAAACTTAGCCAGTCTTCATCACTCTCCCTTGCGTTACAGCTCTCTTTTATTATTTCAGTTGCCGAGGTTAATGTGGGTAGAAGTGTCGTCACCTAAGTTGGCATTTGTTTACTTTCCATCGGCGAACAAATTAACTTCTGCCCCGCCCAGGACCCAATGTCCTACTCTAAACCTCACTCCAATTCCATGGAGGGTCAATGCCCTCACAGACCTGCTTAGTGGGTCACCAGACTCTCGAGTCATCCGCTGCCGAATCCAGCACTGCTGGCAAGGCGTCACGCTATTAACCCGCTATCTCTCCGGAGGCCGATTGAGCACGCAGCTCAGATTGCCTACAACTAAGCCCACGGGCGAATCGACAACAACTCAGATGCAATCATCCATTAGCGATCGGGAATTGTCTAATCTTGCAAACCGGCTGTGGTTGATATCGGTCGCTACTGTCAATTGCATTGGGACCGCTTGCGAACGGAAAGTAAACAAATGCCAACTTAGCTGATGATACCTTTAATGAGGAAATTAAGGAAGATGAACAAAATCAATGATAAGTTTCAAAGTTAATGATAAAAACAATACTTAAATACATATTCACGTGACATTTTATACCTGATAACTTGCCAATATTGAAATTAACTACAAATCTTATGCGCCGTTTGAAGTTATGCTCGTAAGTACTTCATTTTTTCGCGAGAATACTGGTTGGCTCTGTGATGTAAAATTATTAGAGAGATATCATTGAAAAAGTGAAAAAATCTGACAAAATTTTGTGCAGAAATAATGATCAGACCTCCTTCCAAAAAAGTAATATGCGATAGTAGATTCGCAGGTAAATCTCTACCAAGTATAAGTTTGCGAGATGACAAACTGAGATACATAAGTGGTATGATATGTTCACCATCCATGTTGTCAAGAGCGTCAAATGAAAATGATGTAAAATCAGTCTTACTTACACAAAGTCAAGCAACAAGAGTGGTCAGCGATTTCCTGCTAGTTTCCTGCTAGGCGAGATTCAGCTGTTCATGTCATTCCATAAGTGAAAAACAATTATTTACATCGACATAATAATTGATATACCACCATGACACTTCTGTTCAAAAGGGAGATGATACTGAAATGATGAAGAGTGCTCAAGGTCCAGGAATTGATCAAATGAGCTATTACATCACTTGTATCTTCCGCTTACTGATAAGTGATAAGTAAAGTTCGAGCTTGCATGCAAGTTGTTTGTTTACATCTCACCCATAACCTCAAAGTGCATAATCAACTCCACGTGGTGATGTTGATAGCAAGAGTTGATATTAGTAATTTCTTAGGATTTCTTTAATTTATTTCGCTAAATTGTGTCCAACACCCGTGTAGTAATTTTCTTCGAATAGAGCTTAATTATTATAAAGTGATTAGTTGAGTACTATGAGCGGAATCCTGAATCAGATTCTAATAGGAATTTGAAACCACATTACAGGTCTTGCAGTAAAACTTTTGGTGCTGTATTTGTCAACCGACTACCTGTCGTAAGTATTTTCTCTTAGTCCTGAGAACTTTACTGCTCAATGCATATTTCTAAACTCGGTATTGAAGTAGCCTGCCTTGAGCACTCTTTAACAACCGCTCATTCTCCATCTGGTTGTTTTGAACAAAAGTCAAATTTCAAGCTGCGTTGTCGAAGTAGGTAAACTGTTTGGGACTGTGTGGAAACGGAATTATCCGATTCCAAGCGGTCAGCGTTGTTGGATTTCGTTAGAATTACCCAATGACTTGTTTGTTACTTATGAAAGCCTAACGTTTCTACCAACATACAACGATCTCAGGAGGTCCATGGGACCGTTGGGTTGCGTTTGGAAAGGGAAGAACCAAGTGCAATCGGACAAGTTTACTTCAACAACGCACCTCTAACTTGATCTCTTTTTCAGGATAGCAAGTCCGTTAGTAAACAAGAACTCAGAGATTTTAATAAAATTATTATTTTCCTGAAATACTACAAAAGTGTAACTGATACCGGCTAAAACCAATGAATGCGTCTAAAAAACTTGTCTCTTTGTAAGCGCAGATTGTTGAAGAACATTTGATGAATGGTCTTGCCAGTTTAAATATGATCATTATTGTAATTTTGTTTTGTATTAATAAAATAAATAAATAAAAAAAAAATGAATCTGTGGAACTGACTGAGCCACTATGTGAAATGTTCAAAGCAATGCTAAAGTAAATTTGGCCATGAAACATGTTGCTGCCACGTAGGTCCTCTACTCGGTGACCATTTTAGTACCATTCCAGCCACTGACTTGAAGGGTTAATAGCGTTAACTGCATTTTGCTTTTGAAAATAACCAGTCTTTAAACAATAAGATGACAGTTTAATACCAGTTTAACAATTTCTCTTCCTAACAAATGTAACTTGCCACATTGTTACAATCAAATTCAGGAACTCTAATTCCAGAATGAAATAAATATCCCAATATTATGACATCTTTTCCTCTTTCAGCATAAGTGCAACTGCAAAATGCCGCAGAAAAGCCATAAGAAAATTAAAAAGGAACAGAAAACCAAAGTCAAAGTGAAGTCATCCAAGACTGAGTTGCCAAAAGGTCAAAATGTCACGGATACAAGCTTCAAAGTCCGAAAAATTCAATTAAAAGAGCAGTTTCCTGGACACGATGATTCTGAAAGTACACCAGGAAGGAAATTGAATATAAAGGTAAGTGTGTGCTTATGTGCAGCTAACTTCAGGTCTGCCATTTTGTTTTCATCATAAAATTTTATTCTATTTGATGAAAGGTCGTAAATTCCTAAAACCATCTCAAAAAGGCTACCAGAAGTGGTACTAAATTATTGAATGCTTTTCCTCAACTTTTAAAGGTGTTGTGTTGAACATGCTTTTTAGGACAACTATTTCAAAAACTGGTCCATGAAAGTATGATGAAGTAGGCAAACCAAAGGTGTTTTCAAACTCAATCATCCACTTTGTTCCAGCTTCTACACTCTGCATTCTCTGGAGACAGTCAAGCCTTGTCTCCATGAGACATTTCATGGGATTAGTTCCAAGTTCGAATCGCACGAATCTTCTGGGCTTTTTCCCCATTAAACAAAACAACAAGATTTCTTCTCCTCCTCCCCGAGTCTCTCCTAAGACTCCACCATACTGTACTTGGTTCTGCGATTAGTATTGACCGTCTCAAAATTTTTCCCAACTTTGCCAAGCGAGATTTGGGACAGATCCCATGAAACGTCCCGCGGAGATAAATTCTTAGATACTCATCTATAATTTCAGCTCTGTGAGTAAATTGGCAAGGCTAATAGTAGTTAAGTAATTTGGAATGAATTGAGGGACATAGACTGCTTTAGGAGGGAGGGGATAATTGTATTTATAAATGGTCTAATCTGTTCAACGTCCTACCTCTTATTTGTATTGCCTTAAGAATTAAGCCCCCACATTCTTTTATTGATGAATATATCAACAATCATGTTTATTCTTAAAATTAGAAATCCAGCAAATTCATGACCATCAGCTTATTTAGGCACTATTTTTCAGGTGCTAGTCATCAAAAAAAATTCCAAGTGATTTGCTCAAATATTAACTCATTAGTCAGAACAGTGGTTAAGAAAAAGAGCTTTCATGAAAATTTTGTTCCGGATAAATTTTTAAAATGAAGTATTTGCATGAAATTTAGCCTTATCTTATTGCCCTTAATTTTATTTGCTTGAAGGAATTAATATCTCGATTGAGACACCACAACTCAAAAATGCGAAGCAGTGCTCTATCTGGTTTGCGAGATGTTGTCTTGTCCAGAGAGGAGGAAGTTTTGAAATCCTTTTTTGTCACAATATTGGAGGCCACCGCTCAACTTGCCATGGATGATGACTCAGCTGTGCGTCAAGCAGCTATCTCTCTTCTTGGCAGCATTCTCTCCAAGGTACATTGCTAAAACTGATATAAATTCAGATTTTCTTCCATGTTCGAGGACTCTGCACGAAATTCCAAGAAATTTGGCACCGGCCAAATTTTGATATTTTTTCATATGATGTTCCCAACAGCCTCCTGAGTACAATAAGCTTTTAAAATCAAACTTTGTTCGTGCCAATCTCAAGAAAAGCGATGCTCAAAAGTAACTTTGTTTGAATTTTTACACGCAATATCTAGAAGAAATGTTGCAACGTCTTATTGATGATCAAGGAGATCTTTTGATTCCTTGCAGGCTTGGAAGATTAGACAGACAAACAGCATCAACTAGAAATAATGCAAAGGATAAGAAATGAGATGATAATTTTAAACAAAGAAAAAAGTAATTTACCTCCATGAGTTGATGCTCCGCCATGACTTCTTAAGTTATTGGAAAATAGGTTCCTTAAAGTTTTAAGTATCACATCATGATTGATTTTTGTTTTAACATTTTAGGTGAAGGAAGAAAAATTAGTGCCTCTTTTGGAGCCATTGATGCGTTATTTGGCATGTTGCATGAGCCACCTAAATGCAGACATCCGCACAGACTCATTACACTTGATCGATGTGCTGTTAACGCTACCACCTCATTGTAGCAGTGAACTCTTCATGGCCACAATTTTCCCTCGTTTTTTGGACATGATCTCATCTTCTGGTGAAAAGGGCGATTCAAAACGATCTTTACTTGTAGACTTGCATGTGAATACTACCTCTACATTATGGAGAGTTGGAGTGCTTATTAGGCTTCACCGGCTTTTGGAAGCCATCAGTCAATCCTGCTCCCTGAAAGTGACAGGTAAGTTTGCTCTTGTGCTCTGGCTGTTAACCCAGTGTTAAAATACCCCCAAACGGCCCCTTTCAATTGTTTAGAAAGCACTTATAGAGTACCACGGGTAGCCCAATTAGGCCTTCGAATCAGCAGTTTTTGGAATCCCTTGAAGGGCGATATTTTAAAGTAGGTTACGGTCATTTTTCAAGTCAAAATTTCAAGTGGCTCTAGAGATCAATTTTCATTTTGTTTTAAAAATTACAGCTTTAAAGAATTTTAATTTTAGAAATGACCCTCCTATATCTGTGCAAAATTCATGTAAAAAATATTAATTTTCTCAATGCTTTATGTATAAATATATGTATGGTTAATTTTACAGGCGCCCTGAAAAAGACCACTACATGGAGTTTTAGAGGCTACCTCATGTTATCAGAATGTCCAGATGATTTTTTAAAAAGAAGAGCTAAGATTTCATCATGTCCTCGAACTTTAATTGAACCCTGTTGGAAAACATGTTTATTGAGAACACATTCGGAACCTTGGAAGTCGGTGGTGAAAAAGTCATCGACATCAATTCCCATTGAAAACAGAAAATTTTACAATTGCCTGAATCAAGATAACACTTGGTCCCAAAGGGGGTTGAATGGATTTTGTCTAACTTCCTGGTGAACTAAGAATACATGCATGTTTGTTTGCAAGTGAATTTGCCCTTTAAGTTCTGTGCAAACACTGAGGTAATGTCCTCAGGAGTTCAAAACCTTTCTGATAATGTGTTCATTGTTGTTACATCATTGCTGTCTAAAATATACTCATCATTTTACTCCTTTACTGTCTGCAATAGGTGAAAATAAAGTCAACAATATGAAAAGTATTACCTGGTCGGAAGAGGAATTTATTCACTTACCATTGTATCATTCAACATCTAAAAATTATTCAAAATTTGAGCCTCTAGAATTGAACAGACTAGCATTCCAAAAGCGGACAGAGTTAGGATCTAACAATGTGCAGGTTCGTATGCTCCTTGTAAAATTGTTCTTAATCTCAATGTTCTCCCTTCCTCATGAATCCTCGATTGCCATTGAAAAAACCTAGAAAACTAGTCAGAATTTTCAAACAATCTCTCTGTTGATGAAATTACCTTTCTCCCGATCATTTTTTATCCGGTTTTCAGACGATAGCTATTTCGATGTTAATCATCATCATCAGGTCACTTCGACTTCGATTTGGGAGAAAGGTAATTTCATCAACTTAATGCAGCCCGATAAAAATAAGTTCAACTTTAAATTAATCTCTCTGTCTCTAGATCATGTTTTAAGAATTAGTATGAATGTTGTATTTTAAGAAACTGAGCTTGCAAGGAGTGGTGTGACAAGGCGTGCTTTGCGATAAATCGATTGATCTGCCATCCAAACCTATGAAAATGGATTGATAAACAGGATGTTTGCAATGAACACCTAATAATCGATTCTTTACCATGGCTTCAAATGAGGAAATATCGATAATTGATCATTCACGCCTTGCCACTGTTGAGTTCATTTGTACTATGTCCGTGTACTGCTAATTTAAATCCTGGCATGAATTGCCATTGTTAACTCTCTTTTCTCTTACCGTTCATTCCAATTTTCAAAGATGAAGAAGCTTAGTTTCTTTTTTAGCCGACTAACTAAGCAAAATTTCTACCACACATCATGTTTTTCCTATGATAATCAGTTATCGATTTTAACTCCTTTTTTTTCTTTTCTTTTTTTTAGTATTATGCCAATGTCTTAATGCCTCTCTTGATGGATTCTTTCACAGAAGTAACAACTGAGTTTCGTCATTCCCATGAAGGTATGTGTTTCAAATTATTTATTTAGGTAATGAAAGAAAATACAGAGAACATTGATAAACAAGGTTAAATAAGTTAATCGCTTGGAACCGTTTAAATGGCATCAACCGGCAGCCAGAACCGATTACTTATTTTTCAAGTAACGCAACCTAGAGCAAATTGTGGAGAAAAAGTCTGAAAAACCTGGAAATTGTAAATTTTTGTTTCCAGGAAAAAATGTGGACAAAGTTAAACCAAACCTTGAATAGTAGCTATTTGGACAAAAATGACTTGGGGTTGATCTGAATCCAACTAGTCATTTTTCCCTTCTCCAATATTCAAAGTCAAGAAATTATATTTTTAATGAGTAAATAGTCATTTAACTTTGTCCTTAACATCGTGTCTTATGGAGGAATAAAACTTCTCACCTCTTTTCCTCGCTTCAAACTTGATGCCACTTGGTGCATTTCTGTTGAACTTGGCCCACATACATTTTGTTTCTAATTCTACGCAACTTCTATGTTTTCAGTGTTTCTAATATCCCTTGAGGCTGCTGCATTGCTCTCGTGTATCACAGGCATCATTTTATCTCTTTGGGACTTGCTGTCCTCTTTTAATTCATCTGGTGATCAGGTAGATCCTTTTTTGCATACTTCAATCTAATTAGCTGAAATCTGTTTTGTAGTGAGACCCTCCCTAACTCTATTTTCATCCCCTCTCCCTCCTCAGCCATTTGATCAGAACATAAAATTCAGGGTAGATTTTAAAGCGAGTTGGAAAAGTGCTGAACTTGTGAGTTTTTTTCTTTTGGAAAAATGGAATTTTATGTTAAAATTCTCTATTTTAATGGTGAAGCAAATTAAATTTATCATAATTTTCAACCAAAATATTCCTAGTTTTGTAAATCTATTGAAACAAAGCAGTAAGGATGCTATCACTGAAAGCCATTGCAAGCTCCCATGTTAATTGAAATTGTAGGAGAAAGCCAATATGAGAAGTTACCACTGATTCAAAAGACATTCTAGGTATTGCATCCTCTCTAAAGAATAGATACCTCCTCTCTAAAGAATACATTTTTTTTTTCTGTTTTTCAGCTCACTTGGTTTAGGCGCACTTATGCAGAACCTATTCGAAAAAAATTTATTCTTGATAAATTTCCCTACAACATAGGGATCAGCAATCGAACTGAGGAAAGCCAGGAAATATTTGAACTGTTTGAAAAAAGTAAGCGATCTATGGACCAAACATGCGTGGAACAAAACATTAATTTGTGTCATATAGCTGCATTGATGGTGCCTCAAGCTTACCCAGAATCAATGGCAAAATACATTTTCGGTAAGCAGATTTTTCTTAAGAAATTATCGCTTAAAAACGCATTGAATAAAATTGTTTAATCTTCAAAATCATCACGAACAAATGACCTCTCAGACCCTACATTTACTTGAAAGGTTTATAACGGGATTTGCCCGACTCATCTAACATTCATATCGCTGCTTTGGCTGGTAATCGCTTTTACAGCGCGATGTATCTTCGTTTTTACACTCTTGCCTGTACGATGCAGAATGTTTGCTTGCACATGTGGATTTGTATTACTCAAACATTTGATGTACATTGTGACATTTGTTACAGAACATGTAGAGGAAAATCGGATGAAATCTAGCCTGTTAAGAAAAGTTAGGGCATTTGGTGGTATTCTTTGTGAGCTTAGTTAAGTTTGTGTTCAGATCCTCAATAGTCTGTTAAAACTATCCAAGTCTATAACTCAAAATGTAGTTTTCAGAATAAAAAATTGTTTTGATTTGTTTTAGGTTATTTAGATGAAGTAGAGAACATGAGCAGACTGAAAGCCAATACTTTGATTTCATGTTTGAGAGCTCTAATTGATGCCAAAAAGAACAGAAGAGGGCCTCTAAAGGGTGTAGATTTTCCTCAACTCATCCACAAGGTAGTGGCGTTATATTTTAAATTCAAAAAAACACATGACGGCGAGACAACTCTGAGTCTTCTACATCTGTTATCATCAGTAGTTATGGATCCCCAGTTCAAAAAACTTCACAGGTGAAATTCATATCGATTTCATATTATTTTTAAGTATGAGATAAATAAGGGCATGCTGGTGAATACAATTTCTTTGTCAGAGAGACCAAAATAGCATTATTTCCAAACTGCAAGAAATAATGATGTGACATCACAGGGCATTTTTAGCCGGACATCAAGAAGGTTTGTAAAGTTTGTAAAAAGTATGCTATTTTGATGGCTGGTTTTGTTAAATTTTGTGAAATGCTTGTACACTGTTGAGATGCAGGCAAATTCCAAGTTTTGGTTGTTTGACATTGCCTAACAAGTGCTCTGAATGAGACTTTAAAGAAGTTTCTATTCGGGTAATCCCTATCAAACAGTGCTTATTATAATGCTTCTAAATTTCTAGATCAGTCAGGAATCCTCCATTTTCTAGCCTAAAAAAGTTTAAGCGCACACACAGTCCACGAAAAATTATAAAACATTTTTCAGTAGGAAAAAAAACACCTAAGTATACCCTGCATTGAGGTCTTTATTTCTGCAGAAAGTGCCAACAGGTATATCAACTGCAACGAGGCTCAGCAAAAGTCTGTTAAAGGACTGCAAAAAGTCCGCAATTTTTATTCCAAAATCCTATGGGCATCCTGTTCCAGTTCAACAGATGTGGGTGCTTCTTCTTTTGAATTTTGATTTTAACAATCCTCAGTTGTTTGAAGATCCCAAAACAAATGCCTTAAAGCATTCTTGCGTTGCACCACCACCTCCTCTCTGTTTTTCAAGCCATGTTCAGAGGGAGGGAGGTATTTCAATTTTTACTTCTGTTGCATTTCCTTCGGTTTTCTGAAGAATAATTGGGTAATAGAGGTTTATTAAAAACCGACAAGTTTTGTCTATCCTCAGATCTCTCTCATATTTTCATATGTTTGTGATGCTCTCGCCACTAGCCAATCATCGCTACCTGCAGTCACGATCTGCAGTTATAAATACCACTACCTTGACCATCGCCGATCATTCCACGCTTGTCGACTAGTTGAGCTACCCGCGGACATCGTCGCCACCGATCGGTGTGGTTTGCCTCTCGAACGGCCCCTCTCCGGGTCACCACTAGTCGGGCACTACTTACAGAATCCTTTGCTGTATGTTATTCTATGGCATTTGACCTGCCTTTTTCTGAGGATTTCAACTTGACAATGCTCCTGTGCGAAAGGAAAATTTTTCTGTGGGTTCAAGTTGAGGTCTGTAATGAAATACGTAAGAAAATTGAATAATATATTACTTTCTTCTTTTGTTTGTTTCAGAGATAAGCAGTTAACTCGTTGGTTAGGATCATTGCCAGAGTTGCTATGTCAAGAGATAATTTGTTTCAAAACTGTTAAAATAGTCGTTAAAATCGCTACCCATGCTCCTCCTGGATTTTTGTTTGGCTTAGAAACCTGGATTGAGGCCATTCTAGGTATGAACATGAAACCATTATTTTTTAGAAACTTTTTGAACTAACCGGTGTAATCTAAGATGCAGATCTGAATCTCACTTTGGAAACCTGTTTTAGTGATCAGTATGAACTCCATGAAATACGGTAAAAAAACTCGATGTATGTACATATTGTCATATTTTAAAGAGGCCGAGGAGTCCTGTATGCAGACTACATTTTGACTAAGACTTCATTTATTTCGCTTTTTTAGTTTTCTTAAGAAAGGTGCACCCACAGCTTTAGGAGGGGCAGCCTCTTGCTTTAGTGTATAAAAAAGTATAGGGATCTAAAGTAATTTTTCATGATTTCCGGAATGGTATAATTGGTTTTTAAAGTCAATGAAGTCTCCCATAGTTTTTGGTTAAAAAACTCATCAAAAGTGGTCAGTAATCGATGAAAACCCACAAAATTTCTCCCTCAAATGTTAGAAATTGCTTTTAAAGCTCAGGCAGAAAAAGTACACTAAAAAACGCTTAGGATTATCTTCAAGTTGATTCTTTCAACGTTAAATTGTGGGCAGAAATATAGGTGAAATAATTGTTACCTTAAGAATTAAGGGACGCTGGGCTGTAGCTCAAAAGGGGCTGGGCACCCAACCTGACCTAACGTTGCTCTCTCTTCATTTTGCATTACTTGGTTAATGCCCTAGATAGATGCCTAAAATTAAATTTGCTGTTGAGAAAAAAATAATCCGATAAACAGATAGGATTCAGGAATTTTTGTTCCTAAAATCTGAAGCCATCTTGGTTAAGTCCCGCTTTCTCTAACTCTTTTTTCTCATTGATTTATTTTTTCATTTCAGATAATCTGCCGCAGTTTTCACTCACGGACAATGAAGATAATTTAGATGAGGCAAAAGGACTCATTGCAGGACTTGTATATTATATAAAAAATTGGGACGAAGATCTTGTGAAGAGCATTGCTCGGGGCGTAAGCACAAATTACTTCGGGACGTCGCTCAGCTCTTACATTAAGGACTTAGTTGAAGATAGGATTGGATCAAGTTTACCTGAATCTGAAAAAGTGGCTACAGTTTGACAAAAACCATTGTAAATATCAAGGCTTTACCAGGACTCAAATTTTTGAGTGGAATCGACCTATCCTTTAACAACTATAAATAACATGAGTTTTTTATAGTTCAGTACAATTTAACACCATTGCTTTTTTAAGCAAGGAATCTGAAATTTTAGTCAATTAAAGTAATTCATCGTAAGTTCAAAAGCTTGAACCGAAATTTCATTGACAGTGCTATCTAGTCATTTGCAATTCAAAGTTCGTCCAGATTAAACCAGGCAAAATGCAATTTTATTCAAAATCCAGAATAGTTCAAGAGATTGGAACTTCCTCCTCAAATCCTTACTTTCACAGAAACATTTGGTAAAAGAATTAACTTGCAATACTGTCATGCTAATAAGGAAGAACGCCTTATGAGCCTTTGAACGTCACTGCATTTCCTTTAATAAAGTACGAATTTTTGGAGAAACTTTTGAATACATTTCTTCTAAATATTCATAGTATTTTACATGCATTTTTTTCTAAAATGTATGAAAATTTGGAACTGAACAAACAAATTCATGTCATTTGGGGAAATTGGGAAAATCAAAAATTTTTACATGGCGTTCCTCTTTAGCACGACAGAATAATTTTCTTTGATGAAAGAATTTATAAGAAGATTGTAAGAGCTCTTTCATAAAGTATAATTTTGAATCTACTGAAAGAATCTCTATTCTGAACAAGTGTGTGACCAAGAGCCAATGGATCTAAAGAAAAAATTTTGGAAACATGATAATAATTTTTTTGTGGGCAGAATGCAAAAATTGTCCAGCTGTAGTTAATCCGAAACATTGAATGAGATATTCTATGGCATTTGTCTAGCCCTATGCACAGTCAAGCTCCTCTTGGGTGATGTAACCCATTACACATGCAAGATAGAGAAGTAAATAGTGAATGAACTTGACCCAAGTAGGTCTTGGAAATTCAGCTCCGATGTCCCGAAAATCCCTCTGGTGCAGCTCTACGCAGAAAGTAAGCGGCCAAGAGAATTCATTCCAAGAATGAGATGCAAAATTCCTAAAATTGCAAATCATCTCTTAAGCTACAGGTGCCACGCAGTTTTCCTTCAATATTTTGAGTTGTTGAAAATTAATTATAATGCTTTGGCTTTGGGCTGTAGATTTTCAGTAATATCACTGTTGCTTTTAAAGTGATATTTTATCATGTACAATTTTCAGAACATTGTTGTAAACATTGAAGCTCAGTTAAAGTAATAAACCAATTTCTTTTTTAGTGTGGCTTTCTGTTTATATTTTAGAAGCAAATACATCATTGCGATCTCCCCTAATACGAGACCTAAGACAGGTATCTTTATAAGAGTACCAAAAGCACCTATTCATAACAACGCATTTTTTAGTTTTTTTTAAAAATCAAACTGTTCTTTGTGGCATGATGTTACAAATTCTTATCAAAGTTGTCTATTTTGAACAAGGATTATTTCCAACATTTTGAAATTTTAAGGGCAGGATTTGGGACCCAACGTTTCTATGGAAGATACAGCATAGATTTGTGCCCCAAAGAATCGGAAACATAAAACTAATTCGTGCCATTGAGGATTAATATTAAATTTGGAATTTACGAAATGGAGGAAACAGTAGGATATTTTTAGTCCTCAAAAATTTCATCAACAAATCCATCACAATTGATTTTTTTTTTTTTAATTCAGTGAAGCTGAACCATTTTAAAACGCACACGATTTTCAAAATATCTAGAAAATTCCTGAACATGTCTTTTTCCAAAATTCTCCCATAATTATTATCCGCCCGCAAAAGAATTTTATCGCATGCAAAAAATATTTTCCTTATGTTATTCTTAGAACAACTGGAAAAATCTGTTTTATGTACGTACACCCAAAAACTTTGTCTAAAAATATCGAAACGCTGCAGAGCAGTCAAAATTCAACATTTTGAATTACACCGCGTTTTAGACTACGGGATGCTACGGGATGACGGGATCACGTAATTTTGGTTTCTTGTCGTCATCAAGATGGCGACGGACCGACATCCACCCGCACTTTCCTCTCGCCATGTTGTTCTTTCCACTTGGCGTTTTTTGTACTAGGTGAGCGCGTGGTTTGTGCGTTTTCACAGACGATTATCTCCAGATAATCATATTTATTTAGTTCAACTCACAAGGATTCATCATGAATGAACAGGTCTGTTATTATCACATTTTTCATTTTTTTGCGATCAGAGACGAAAGCCATCAGGGACCCTGCGAACCCATCGCCGGGATCAACAGGAAGCCTGCTACATGGCACCATTTCTCGCCTGAAATTCCAAGTTGCATTATATTTTCAGTTCCCTCATAGAAGATGTTTACTTCCCTACTCTTTTAGCCATGCCAACCCATACTTCTCTTCAATCTTCACTCCGGAACACTATGAAAAGTATTGTAACATCCTGCAATGTGGGGTGAGCATAGTGAGGTTAGGTATATGAAGTACGCATGGAGTTGTAGAATGAATTTGAATTTTGAACTTTGGAGGCCCCCCAATAAGGGTTTTTTCTTCATCCGAGATGCGGTGCACTGTGATGAAACGTCGGCTCTTTTATTCTGCGCACCAATTGCGATCCCATGGATCGGAATGGAACGAATGGATGGCTCTCCAGGGATGGTCGTTGATTGCGTTCTAATGTGATCCTAAACTAATTCAAAATAATTACAAATCCAAGCAATCATCAAATTTGAATTGTTTTATCACTTGGAATGCTGTAGTTTGGTCTGGACTGCTCAAGATTCCATCCCACTGCGATCCACCGTGTTCCGCGATTTAGAGAAAGCCCCCTATTTTGTCCCCGATCTGATCCATCCAACAACAGAAATTTAGCTCCATTCATCAGTGTGCTATTTGACTCCCAGTTCTTTATCAACTTTACGAACTAGTAATTGGAGTGGTATGTGTTCGATTGCCCATCATTTTGCACGCTGAATACATACTTTTCCCTTAAAATTTTATTGAATCTTCAAGCTCATCAGAATCTCAGAAATGACCACCTTTTGACTTGAAATTGTTAAAGTTTACAAACTGGGGAAAATTTACAAAGTGTTTCAAGGTGATATGTTGTTTTGTACTTGTAAAAGAAAAAATCTAAGAGGATATTATGCGCCTCACACAATTCCTAACTACATAATTAATTAGGAATTATGTGAAATGCAGTCAAGCTGATATTAGTCTAATTTGTCTCAATGTATGGATGATAATATGACATCTCTGAGCATCCATTGATCCATTAGGAACTATCATCTCTGTCTTTTACGCAGGATGCATGAACAAATGTCTCCCCCAATTTTCAGCATTGTTGATAACTATGCCTTCTGTTTTTCAGTCGGAACGCTCTTTTCAAAAACAACCAACTGTGTTTTTAGCTAAAAAGAAAGCTGTCAACAGTAAAACAAAAAATCGGCCTACTCGCCATGTGCGCAACATTGGTCTCGGCTTCAGAGTACCAATTGAGGTCGGTGGTGGTTGACTCCACAATTAGTTTTATGCACGTTGTTGTGTTTAGTTAGTGGTAGTTTAATAGTTGTTTGTTTTCTCTCCACGTCTAGAACGAAAAAAGTTTCCAAAAACAAAAGCAGGTTTTTCTTGCCAGGAAATCGTACTTGAAGAAAAAGCCAACCCGAGTAACCAGGGATATTGGACTTGGTTTTAAAACACCCAAAGAGGTATGTCTAGAAACTTAATTTCTTTTCAGCAACTACATTGAGTAAACTGCTTGCTTCGGACTAAAGCTCTTCAGGTTCGGTCGCTGGGGTCTATCACAATCCAACTATGGATCTTTCATGGTAATGATTCATCTATCCTAGTATTGAGCATACTTTTCTGTCTCAATCATTATCACAAGTTTTTCCTGTGTGTCTCCTGTCATAGAAAAGATGCTACCATCTTGAATTAATTAATCAATTTTTCATAATCTCATGTAACTCAGTTTGCTTTCACAGTTCGTGCCCTCTAACTGCATGCTCTCTAACCTCTTCGGCTTTCAAGCAGCAAATACCCTTATATGCACCCTGTCTGTTTTTTTTTCCTGCTTTGAAAAAATATGAGCTTCAACACGTTACCGAGATCGTACTGCTTACATCAAGGGACTTTTAAAAGGGAGAGTAATCGTATGATAGTCTTTTCTTGAGAGTGCAGCCAATGTTGGTTCACCAGGTTTTTGCCACCCAATTAAATAATTTAAAATAAATGAAAGTTGAAGAAAGTGCCAAAAATTTGTCATATCGCTGGAAATTGAAAACAATGGCTTACCAAATTTTCATAGCCATTCCAAGTATGACTCACAATTGTTACATCCCTAGTCTAGCTCATGATAATGTCAAATCTGCCTTGTCCGTTTTTTTTTTTTTTTTATAAATGGTATTGATATGTTCTTCTCACTCTGTCTAATTTTTGTTTTTTACATTTCTATTTCTTTCACCTCCTTTGATCAAAGTCTTTTATTTCTCTAAATCGTAATGTAACCTGCCTTTGTAACATATTTATTTGAGTCAGTCAAGATCGTCAATTTTGAAGAAGAGACCTCCATGTTAAATGATTCATGTGGCAAATTTCAAGAAACTGAAAGATATAGAGTTTTAGGTCTATCAGAAAAGTAAAGAAACAAACAAACAATAGACAAAAACATCCATCTGTAAGAAAATCCCTCTCTATGTGAGCAGATTTAATTACGTCTCCACCAAGAAAGAGCAGCTTTTTTTCTCTTGCATCATTGTAACTGAAGGGTTCGTAACATGACTTGACTCATTTCCACCTGCTAGTTGAGGCAGTGCAGAAGACTGTGGATTGTCCTCTCCTGATACCTTTCCCTCTTACTCGAATATCACTTTTATGTTTTGAGTATTCTGCTGCTAGGGATCTCTGTTTGAAGTAGGAATAAAAGTAATTTATCTCGAAAAGTATCAAAGTCAAATATAAAAAATTTGGAGACTTCTAGCACCCTTCTAAATAATATGAAGTCGCCCTTTTTTACATTAATGTTTTTTTCAGTCCTCATTTTTTTCTTACGAAGCACCACCCAAAAACAACACATTGTTGTCCAAGGAAAAATTTCAAAATTAGGGGCAGCACTGTACAAATTGCTCAATTTTTTCCCCAATTAAGTAGAGAATCAATTATACAAAGAAAATTCAATCTCATTTTCTAGTGCTTCAGTGTCATGATAACTAAAAAAATTAATTCCTAAGTTAGGAGACGTGACTTCAACACTAAATGGTTTTGATTGTAAATTTTCAGGCAAGAGATGGTCACTACATCGACAAGAAATGTCCGTTTACTGGCAATGTCTCAATTCGAGGTCGTATCCTGACTGGTGTTATCAAAAGGATGAAGATGAAAAGGACCATCGTTGTAAGGAGAGATTATCTTCACTATATTCCAAAATATAACAGATTTGAAAAGAGGCACACAAACGTTTCGGTCCATATGTCACCATGCTTCCGGTAAGCCCCCTTATTTTAATATCTTATTTTCCTATTATTTTGTGATGGATCGTAGCTTTTACCAAAGTGATACATCTTTTAAATATGAAATCTCATACTTCACTTTGTGCACTTTCTATCAGAGGCAAAGTTTTGGAGTCTAACTGTTTATCCATCCCACGGGGACAGCGTAATGTTGTGCACTATCCAAGTAATTTTTTTGTAATCGAGTTGTTGAGTTGAACAGAAATTTTAGAATTATTGTGCATTCGTATGGAACCGTCTACTGTGCTTTTCTAACTTTTTCCAAAGTGGCAAGTAACTGAATTAATGCAATCAGCGTCCTGGACATCATCAATTCTCTTTGCACCTCTGCCCTCTCTCAGCAGATCAAATTATCCACTTTTTCATTTTCTTGTAAAGTCTTCAGATTCATTCATTCTCACCCCTGATTGGTTAAAATATTCAGGGCTGCAAAAAGTTCTTAACCTCATGCGTGATTATGAGGAGGCTTTGAAAAGAGGTTTCTAAGATTGTGTATTTTTTGCCAAATCTGTCACGTATAATCAGAGAGAGAACAAAGAACAAAACGAAGGAAGGTCATCTCTTCGAAAAGTTTGGGAAAAAAGGAATCTCTTAGGCAAAAAGACCAATTTGAAGACTGAGAAAGCTACAAACCTTCTGCATCTTCGCAATGATTCACCAAACATCAGTAGCATTCCTCAATCTTAAAATGGTATCGTTCGCTTTCGAAAATTTGCCCTACATCATCATTCTTAAGTGGTCATTATTTACTTAGCTGAAATCTCTACTTATCACCGACATGTATCTTTTTTTTTTTTTGTTTTTTGTATCCTTTTTTGAACTCAGGATCACTCAATGGTAGTTACAAGACGAATTTATTTACGCAAGCGACTTTATATTTTTAAGGTGCTCTCAAGTAATGCACCTTTTGAAAGTGCTAAAAAAAGAGAAGCTAAGTGCTTGAGCTAAGTGCAGATATCTGTTCATCAGAAGCTTCATATGACCTCCTAATCAAGTCACTAACCTGAATGCCAGAATTTCAAGTTGAGTCATCAAGTAATGATCTTACGACAGAATTCCAGGTTTTTTTTTTCTTACTCAGATGATAATTTTTTTTTTTTTTTATTTCGCCTTTTGCAGAGATGTTGAACTTGGAGATATTGTCACTATTGGAGAATGCAGGCCACTTAGTAAAACAGTCCGATTCAATGTTCTGAAAGTCGCCAAAGGAGCCACCAACAAAAAAACTTTCAAGAAATTCTAACATCCGACCATCATGTAATTGTTACTCCGTTTTTGTAATAAAAACTAAAACTGAAAAATCGTAATCATTTTATTTTTCTTCTAAATTTTCAAGCAAAATATATCAATAGATCCTCTGCTGGAAAAGTGCTATGTTCCATATGCTCACTTTTAAAAATGTATTAAAAGATTCATATCAATCATCAATTCATGAACAAATTCAATGAACTAATTTCAAGTTATCAACAATTCATTCCTGCGTATGCTAGACTGTACAGATTTTAAATTGGTTTCCGCTTCAAGAAAGACTTTACTGCCTGGTAATTTAAAACCGCAGTTTCAAAATTTGTACGAAGTACTACAAATATTTCCGTTTAAAAAGTAATCAAAGTACCATTGCAGAATACCAAAAAATTCAATGCTGGCTGAATTTTGTTGTTATTTGATATGACATCCTTCGACCTCCTGAGACAATGAACTTTTAATATCAAACTTTCAATGTGCCAATTTTGAGAAAAGCGGTGCCAAAAAGTTAGTTCTTTGCATATATACGCCTTCTCTCATAGTGGTGAGATACTGCTTCTTTGTCAGATTATGCAGAACCGATTACTCTAAAGTAGTTCATGCAAGGTTGCACAGCATCCCCTTGTTTTCCTGGTTGGCAAAGAGAAAAGAGTTGTACTCAGTAATTTTTCTTGATGTGCTTGTAAGAGTGCTGAAAAACTCACATTTCAGCTCTGCATTTATCGAATTTGGCATATTGGCTTTGACTTTACAAGCTCTATGTGCTTAGGTAATCGTAAAGAACATCATATCAAATAACACAGAGCCTGAACAGAATTTTTCCTTACGGATACCTTTCTTTTTCTTAAGGTCCATCTCTTCAAAGCTACATCATATCCCGCCGACATTCTTACATCTAAAAATTGCTATTGGCGTTTCTCAGTACATTATTGATCATTGCTGTCAGCCAGTGCCAAATTGTAACATGTCTGTAGTAGCTTTATCCCATTAGAACATTTTTAAGAACCACAGCTCGGTTAAGACCTATGCATCAACTTTTTGTCATGGTGTGGCGAACTACTACGTTTCACAACACTAGTTTTAGCTTCGTCCAATCTCGCTTGTTAAATTAGTTACATGTAAGTTTGATCAATATTGGAGTGCACGCACGGATCAGGCCTACCTTCATTTATGAACCATTGTGAGAGGTATCATCTCTGTTAAACCCTGTGTGTTGCAACCATGTTGAAAGTGACGTTGCTTGAAAGCAATTTGAAAGTTTGCTTATCTTTCAGCGTGTAACACTCCAATTTGGATCATTCTGTTACATGCAGGTACCAATTTTTTAAAGTTTATCATTAAATTGTTTTAATTATCCTGAGTTTTGTGCGAGTGATCATTGTAAGGTATGCCAGCATAGGAAACTCTCTAAGTTTCATCATTGTCTGAATAAGCCTTTTCTCAAAGCCCCTATATTTCAGGCATTTCCACAGTAAATCCTCAGCAGACAAATTAGTGTACCTGTCGGACAGCATGGTTTTGATTAAGAAAAATAAGTAAAAGTCCAGCGGTGCATAAGTTCCATGCCAAAACTTAAAAGCTTGCCTTTTTTTACTACAGTATTAGTATTACCAGCTTTTATTTTCCCAAATATTACATTACTCCTCACCTTTGTGTACGAACAATCTTTATTCGTTCAAAGTCACAAAAAAATTCCGCTTCGTGTTGGTGCAAATTATAGTTCATCGGCAAAGAATATAAAATTTATCAAGGAAATCAATTGAGGGTGGAACCCATCAAATTAAGGGGAGAAGGATTACATTTTACACCTAAGACTGCCTTTGTTTGAAGAATGATTCACCTACTTTAAACTCAAATTTTAAGGTAAAGAAAAATAGCTCTGGAACCGGACCGCTTTCATAGTTGAGGAATAATTTTCCTACAAAACTTAAATTTGAGTTCAAGTATTAAGGTAATAAAAAAGAGCTCTGGAACCCAAGTTCTTTTGCAAAGTGCACGCTGAGACGAGTGTCCCTTCACTTTACTCATTCATCAGTGATTCTCTCCCAAAATTATAAAATGAAAGGGGTTAAGAGATAAGAGAACCACGACGAGATCACCTAATCTCTTCATTCATTCGCAATGAGGATCCAAAGTTAACGCTTTTACTACATCCATCCGTCTCGAAAGGAAAGTGAAGCAGATCAATCTGCTTTGCAGAGAAATATCCTAGCTGGTACCTACATGAATGAGAAGCGCAACAGCTAATGTTGCCCTCAAAACCAAGACTTCTCTGGAGAGAGAAAGGTATTTTTGCTAATGAAATTAACGGTGGTGAAATGTCACTTAGGAGGAATGTTTTCCACTACCTTTCTACAAATTTCAAAACTTGCACTTTTACTATTTGGAAGGGGGGGAGGGGTTTGGTAGGGATTTTCCAGAGAATGAATATTATGCAACCTGCAACAAGGAACTGTGAGTCTGACAAGAATTAACTCCCCAGTTCGTCTATTTTCCTTTTGTGGAATTGAGTTGGTGTTTAGAGAGGGTGTTGGTTTTTCGTGGCCTCTTAAGCTGGTACGATTGAATATTCCGAAATTTCACGGTAGGAATCTCACAATAGGTTCCACGAAACAGTATTCCTTAGTCCGAGTGGTGCGATTGAATCGGCTTAAAATTGCCTCAAAGGTGCTGAAGTAGGGAGGTTTGTTGTGCATTTCTTATTGATTCATAGCGAGTGGTATGAATCATCAAAACTTGATATTTCTGAAAATTTTTTGAGCTTGAGTAATGACTTTTGACGTGTAGTGCGAGTCGCGAGTGTGACTTACAGAGGAACCCAAGCGTAAACCAATCAGCGCTCTTGAAAGCGATGACGAGAGAAGGCGGTAGGTCTCTGATTGGTGGCTGAATTTACTGATAAGCCTTTTGACAACCCGGTTTCTCTGCTCCAGCCAGCTGAAAACTGTAAACAAATCGGTTCCATGTGGCACGGAAGATAACAATAAAGAATGATAAGAAGCTTATTAGACGTGGATATTTTCACCATTCTCATTCTTGGTATCAGCTTCCTCTAACCTGTGCACGGTAATTACTAAATCTCCTGTTTTCCTACATGGTAAGTCGGAAATATTAATCCATCCTAATACAGTATTCCTTTGAGTGTATTTCATATTATGTCATGGTATTTAGCGGATGTTCATTCCACCTGTTCTTTTATATCGCAAAGTTTTGTCACAAACGTAAGCTGAACGATGATTTCACTGAAAATAATTATGATTGTTTCCTCCATGGATCACCCCTATCAGACTATGAGGATTTCTAAGTAATTACATGAATTGCTTCAAGATATCCCAGGATCACCATTACTTACTTACCGCAGGTTCAAAGTACCGCCCTCACTATCTTTCTCTTCTTGACCCCTCTGTATCTCTATCCTGCACTCAAACAAACATCATTAATTAAATTTATGAAAATCAGATTGGCTGGGACAATAGGTTATCTTATCATTTGGAAGCTTGAGATAAAATATCAGAAAAATTCATTTGGATATATTTTTCGGTCACTGACCGGTGGATCCTCTTATTTCCAATTAATCCAATGTTTTTACTTTTTATACGTTATCTTATTTAAGTTGATATCTTCTAGCCAAGGTCAGTATTAGTTTTTATTATTATGGTCATAGCCAGAAACTTTTTTTGGAAAGAGGTGACAGTTAAATCATGGAACTAAGTATTTTACATTGCATAGCGATGGCCAAAGATAGAAACCATGTAATCGTCATGTTTTCAAATTTCCTTGACAATTTTATATTTTCCAAGAGAAACAAGTCAATTTTGCAGCTGGAAATTTATACAGAATATATTCTACACATGAGGAAGAAAAAAAATCAAGACTGTTTTCAAGAAACACATCAACTAGTTCCCACAGGAAAGGTAAAGTACGACAGGAAGTCTGTAACATTGCAAACAGAGATATGTAGTTTTGTACATTGGTCATAGGTATTTTGTTTGCAGTTGAATGATGCAATGATACCATTCAGTTGCCCACTATTTTGCTAGTGTTGACTCCAAGCAAAAAAGATAGACAGGCTGAACCAGTGATACCTAGATTAATCATAGTCGTGTTGTCACCCTCGATTTCAAATCGAAAAATCCTCTGGAACTCCTTCTAATAATATCTATCGCCCCAGGTTTTGTTGGAGCCAATTATCTCACATTGCAGGTACCCATCTAAACTCTCATGGAAATCATAGATTTTTTTCCCCTTCCATAATATTATTTTTTATAAATTCTTTTTTTTTCCTTTGTACAGATGGAACTATCCTGTGCAGTTCAACATTATGAGTGGGGAAAAGCGGGCTCAAATAGCGCTGTTGCAGTCCTTCGACAGAGTGCCGATCCAACATTCCTAATCGATGAGGACAAACCATATGCTGAGCTTTGGATGGGAACGCACGTCAATGGTCCCTCCATTGTCAGTCTTGACAATGTTCTCTTAAGTGACTGGATTGCTAGGAACCCAGGAAGCTTAGGAAAAAAGCTCACAGCAACATTTGGTCAGCAGCTTCCATTCTTGTTCAAAATTTTGTCCATCAACAAAGCTCTCTCAATTCAAGCCCATCCATCACTGGTAATTTCCTTTTGTAGAGAAGTACACTTTTAATGTAACGAAACGCCTAGCCTGGACCGTGGACTGTGAGATAAAAGTTGAAAAAGTGGAATTTCAATGAGTAAAAACCCATAAAAAAACCTTTAATACAACTATCAATGGCCGGAATGCAAAACTCTGCATCCTCATTTGCGATGTTGTAGACTTTCTGTCATACCTACTTTATTTTTTCCTTGGAATACTAGTCAACGTAATGTTTTTCAATTTTCTGTAGAGGAAACTTGCAGATGTATTTCTGGCAATTATTTTATAGTAATTCTGGCAGTCAATGTTCCAGCAATATTTTGGATACTTTTTCGCAGCATCCTGCGTCACTAAAAGAAGAGTGTAGTAAGATTCAATTTTTGTCTGATGAATAGGTAAAAGACAATTTTTTTTTTATCTATTGAAAACTTGATTCTTTAAGTTATTTATGAAATTATGAAGCCATCAGAAATTCTATAGCTCCTAAATGAACACAAGCAGGCTTTAGTTGGCACTATTATAATTTGTTTTGAATACCTCTTTTTTCAGGACCACGCCCAAGAATTAAACCAAAAGTTTCCTCATTTGTACAAAGATGCGAACCACAAGCCGGAGTTAGCCATTGCCTTGACAAAGTTTGAAGCATTATGTGGCTTTCGTTCAGTCAGTGACCTAAAAAAACATTTACAAAGTAAGTAAATAGATGAATGTACTGCAAGTCCTCAATATTCCTGACTCAGAGTTATAAAGTCATAGTGAATAGTCTTTTACGGAAACCTCCATGTTACTTAAGTAAGGCAGGATTTGCTTGTTTGCTTCTGTCTCTGTGGCTCTTGTGGGGAGGATTCCAGAGTTGATCTAAGGTGCAGAAGTCCTTAAAGCCGTCCATTAATTATATATAATTTCAGGGAAAAGGGTGTCCAAGCATCCTCAATGAGTCCAGCACTAGAGAGAAGGATGAGTACTCAAGTAGCAATGGCTCTTAAAACAAATTCTACCAAAAGTTGTCCAAAAAAATGTAAAAAACATGTAAATTTTAAGAGTTCATAAATTTTACGTAAAAAAACTCTTAAAAGGAAACCCTTTGGGGGAATTCTTTTAAATAAAAAAAATAGTGTTATCTTAATTAAAAGAAATTGTAAAATTTACATGAAAAACAACAAACTATATCCTCAATTTTTATGGGCTGCAACTTTTCCTTTTATTATGGTTACCACTTTTTTTTCCTCGTTTTTGCCCGCAGGAAGTTTATACAAAAAATACGTAAATCTACGTTAAAGAATTTACTTAAAATTTTTCTTCAATTTTATTCAAATAAAAGTCCCTAAAAGGGTCTCCTGATACGAATATTTCAAGAGTTTTTTTACGTAATTTTCGAGTGGTTTTGAAGTAAACGTTAAGTTCTCTTAAAATTTACGAGTTTCTTACAACTTTTCTCAACAGCCACTGTTACTAAGGTAGGAAAAAAGGTATGCAACTAAAACATTGATGTAAGTAAAGTATCGATTTTTTATAAGTCATGGCTTAGACAGATTTGATTTTTCACCTAAAAAAATCCCAGAAATTGCCAGTTTTTAATCATGAAAGAAGAGATGTGATCTAATTGTGACATAAATTCTTCATTCTGAGTTTACACCTGACCCACATGAAGCCGATAGAGAGAAGTCAAGATCAACGAAGCATATAATTCTTGGACTGTCCCTTCCCCAGAAAATGCTCACTAAATAAATCCTCTTCCCTTACCATAACTACATACAGGCATTGTAAAAGTAAACAATCTGCCAACATTTAGCACCACTGCTCCTTAAACACAATTCCCTTGAAGATTATTTGAAATTCGGTGAAAATTTCAGGCATTTATATGTATGTTGACAAGAAATTCAACATATACCTAGTCAGAATGAAGGTGAATGATTCTGACAATTGGGCATTGGGTAATTCGGTTCTCTGACAGTGAGATAGTTCAACTTGATGTTGTCGCGCGAGTAGAACACTTTTTAAAATTGGAAATGGGTGGTGGTCGTAAAAAAGTATGCAGTAACACTATCTAACAGAAGTATTTTATTGTATTTCAGGCATCCCTGAATTATCAACAGTAATAGGTGATAGTCTTGTTTCAAAATTTCTTGAAAGTGATGAAGAAAATGTGCAGAATCAGCTGAAACAATGTTTCAAAGCGCTTATGACAGCTGAAGAATCTCTAGTCGAATCTCAACTTTTATCTTTGATCTCTCGCCTGGAATCTAGTGGTAAGTTTCCACCATATTGCCAAAATGAGTCGATATGTTCTCATTCAAAAAGGACACTCACGAAGGGAACTTGACTTGAAACTAAAATTATGGAACAATCCACAGCTCTGGCATACCATGAAACTTGTCCGAAGTTTTTGCCAGGGGTGGCAATAGTTCTCAACCATACAACAGGCTGGTCGAGACAAAATTGTGAACACTGACAGGTTTTTTCCTCTTCTATTTTTTTTTTCTTTCTTTTTTTTGGTTTTGTGATTTTTTTCTCCTTCAAACAGAATGTTTATCGAAATATTGAAGTGACAATTCCAAATAAACCAAACAAATTTGCAAATTTTTAATCTGCACGTTGTGTTGACCTGTTTGTAAAAGTTCAGCGCATTCCAGAAGTTTTTTTTGAGGCCTTTTCAAAAATTGCGAAAGCTTAGAACCATTTGCACCCCTAGTTATTTCTCTCCTAGATAGTTAAAGAAAATTTAATTTTTTTCAACCATTTGTTTTTCACAAAAGGCTACTTGAATTCTTACTGGGTAACTAGAAAAATATTCACCTAAATATTGAATTTCTGTAAGGGTGGGAAAAAAGTTCCTGTGGATGATCACACTCACAATAATCTACGTTTTTAAAAAAAATTGATGTGTTTTAAATTTTTCTTAAAAAAGTTCTAATATTTTTCGAACGTTTACCTTGTTTATTTTTTTTTTCTTGCTTAAAAATCAAGTCCTTCCCTAGCTTTTTTTGATCCAATTTTGCACTCTCACACTTGATCAAGCTTTAATGAGGGAATATTTGCCAGCGATTTTTTTTTTTTAAAGAAAATAAGAAACTATTAATTAATGCACCGGCACTTACCTCAAACCAGGGAGTTATGATTTCATCATAGATCAAGACTCATGCACTGACTCAATGATTTTGTTTGTTTGCAGATGAAAATAGTAAAACGGAATACCAGCTAGATTTATTGAAACGGATCCATGACCAATTTCCTGGTGACGTAGGTTGTTTCGGAATTTATTTGTTCAATTACATCATCCTTGCACCAGGGGAGGCAATCTACTTGGGGGCAAATGAAATACACTCATACATCTCTGGAGGTACAACTGTCTGTTCTCCTCTCCTACGATATGAAATGCTGATTTTATCCATTTAATCTTATGTTAAATTGATGAATTAGCTAACAAAGCGATGACTTAGACCATACATTACCTACTTGCAGACTCTTTGAAGTTTGATTTAGAGAATAATAGGTTGATAGGCAAAGCAATAAAACCAAAGTACTAAGTAGCAACTCTTGAGGAGACAGCATGCCATTTTTTCATAAATGCATCAAAACAATAAAAAATGTTTACTGACAAAAAGTTGAATCCATACAAGCGATGACTTTTGCTCCAAGGAATCTGGCTCTTTGCCTTTTTAATATGAAATTTCTTCCATAACCTGAGTAAGATATCACAGATTTGAAGGTCTGAGTTTACAGTTTGTGCACTATTTCAGTGCATGCCCATAAATTTGTATGAAGCTAGGTCAGGCCTGTATATACTAGCTAGGTAACTTACTAGCGGTGAAACTCTCAAACGACATATCTCCTTTTCAGTGTTTCAAAATTTCTGCTCGTATTTCATTTTCTCAAGGGAGGACAAATTAACATCATTCCTTGAAGTATTTAAGAATTGACGTTTTGTGATTTTCTATTTAAAATATGAAGTATCACAGAAAGTCTGTATCGTTGTCAACTGAGATACATGGTTCGGGAGTTCCAGCATCGTTATGCAGTTGCCTAGGGGTGGCAAGTTACAGAAGAAGGAAAAGAGATTTTAAGATGTAACTGAAGCAGTAATTGAAAAATAGATGAGTCTGTTTTAAAGGCGAGGGTTTTGATTCCTTTAATTAACTTGTACAATTCTATATTTCTCTCTTTTAGCACTGATTTTTTTCATCTATTTTGTTTCAGATTGTGTAGAATGTATGGCTTGTTCAGACAATGTAGTGCGAGCAGGTTTAACCCCTAAATTCAAAGATGTTGAAACACTTTGTAGCATGCTTCAATACAATGCGGAACCACCCTGCAAGAAGCTGTTTCAAAGCATTTCTGAAGACTCAAACACTTCAATTTTTTTACCGCCTGTTCCTGATTTTGCTGTTGCTGTGATTAAGGTAGGCTTTATCAAAAGCAACACGGAGACACAGTCTATATAACGCTTTACATACATTGGTATTTCAATGCATTTCACTATTCCTAGACTGTTACTGTACAACATGATTGCTCTGAAGTCAGGTTATTATACAAGAACCGTCAGTCACTAAGGAATTCTTCTATTTTTAACATTCTCAATGGGTTTTTTTATGTTCAAATACTTACACTAGGTACAGCAGGATCTAACCAAATCAAAAGTCAATGGGTTAAAATACTTCTGAGAATATATATTTGCACATTATTTTGGAACACAGTAATCGATTTATGGAATTTTAAAAAAGCTGTTTTAGTCATCAGCACAGAGAAGATGCATAATAATTTTCAGGAATGCTTTAGTCATAGCTGTTTAGCGACTTCCAACACCTATAATTTAAAAGAAAATTCTTTTTTTGGCGCGTATACGTAGTATACCGCCTTTGCGATCGTTTCGAACCCTGCTCGATACAATAACCGAGTCCCTTAGTTCCTTACCGAAAAGTGACTACCGCGAACTTCTGAGATTTTCCAAAGCGTGTAAAAAGTTTATTTATCCGTCAATAATTATGATTTAAAGTTGTTTCTCATTCTGCGGCTCTCTAGTTTATGTGCAGTGAATACCAAGAGTCTACGTTACGTGGTTTTTTTAAAAAAAGCCTAAGAGTACGACGCGCTGATTTAAAATATGCATATATAAGCGGAAGCAAGCGAACTGATTCGAGGATGGCTGACCAGTTCGGCACTCCATGAATGAGAATTTCACTGACTCCGTTTAGTTCAAAACGTTGCTTTGACAGATCTCCACACCACTGTTATCCTTTTCAAAAGTTGGTACTCCTTGCTCTGATAGCCGGGGCCAGCAGGATAGTGGTAAGTGCAATCTGTGATGAGCCTCGAGACTCATTAGACCATTTGCTAAACGTGGCTCATACAGGAGTCCACTCAGCCCTCTCTTCCCCACGCTCCTGATCACTGCGTCGGCGTCACGAAGAACAATGGGCCTTGGGCCGCCTTGGGTCCCAACGCGGCCGATACCCGTACCCCAATTACTCACGCTTCATTAACCATTTCACCGTCACGCTAGAATTCATCCAATTTTCAAAAAAAATTGTTTCGCGTGTATTTAGCAATGTTTTCCTTACTCTACGTTAAAACACAAATAAAAAGAGACCTTATTCATAAAAATCGGCCGAATAGAAGAGAAGTTACAGTAATCGAAATCCGAAGAAATCAACAAAACCTCGACCTCTCGATACAAAAAATAAAATGAAGGGGAAAAAAAGAAATGTATAAATTACAATTAAATATAATTGACCTCAGAATTTGACAAGCAATTCATTTATATACCTAACGCTGAAAAAACTGGGAGAAATTACAAAAAATTCGCCTCTTGCAAGGGGCTTCTTTGTAAGAGTTTTGACCTGAAGACAAGGGTCGAATAACAGCAGCACTTCATACAATACACGGTGTGCCTGAACGAGTTAAACATTTTTTATACGTCCAAATCGAAAAATCTTTATATTTTTAACTACAGCGTCTCTTGAATCGATTAAGCCCCCCCCCCCCCAAAAAAAAAAAAAAATAAAAATGTNGGGCTATAATAGCTAAATCACCGGTAGTAAATCCCGTTATATTATTAAAAAGAAATCGACTCCATAGTTTAATGCCTTAGTTTCTTGAATACGATTATTTTAAGCACTTAAACATTTATACCACCAATTTTAGCCATGGGATGATTTCCTGAGAGCCGATAATATCACGAATTTCTCATAGAACCCTTCAACAGTGGCTTGCTTTTTTGGCAGCCGATTTGGCCATCGAACCGGGGTTTAAAGGGAAGCTGACAATAACCCGAAGCTCTGACAAAAATTTTGAGATGAGTATAAGAACGGTTTGTTGTAAGTAACGAGGAGAGGCGGGCAAAGCGGCTAAAATCCGATCTAATTTTTACAGTTTTTCTGTTGAATTAATGTTGCCGCGGGCTTCTGACTGTGTCCACACATAGCTTCTGTTCAACATATCGATACATAAGTATTTACACACGTAGAATCTAATTTTCACGTCAGGGAGTCAACATACTTCAATTTTTTCGATTTTATGCGGAAAATTGATGGTTTTTCGGGATTGAAATTATTATTGTTTCATGAAAAATAAATGCACCCAAAATGACTATAGCATATTGATTTTTACACATTTGCACTCACGAAATTGGTTGGTAAATTCAACAAGTGGGTACATCGACATGGTATATCAAGTTTCTGCAATTTTTTACGGCAAATCAGTAGATTTTCGGGATGTAGATTGCTTACTTTCAATTCATGAATGAATAAAGCACGACATGGTTGAACTTCTTTGCATGGAAAGACGTTTAAAATAACATAATCAAGACATATTTAATGTAATTGCATTTATATCGAATTTCTTTTCAATAATACTCGTACAACGGGATTTATACTACCGATGATTTGGGTATTTTAGCCCCAAAATACCTTTAAATCGACTTTATCTTCTAGGAGTTCGACAGAATTTTTCCTTTCTTCGCTTAAATTATTCCGTATCACTTTTCTTCAAGAATCTGATAAGATTTTGCTTGAGGCAGATCAAAAAACTTAAATTCGATCGAATAGCTTTCTACTTTCACAATACACGGTCTCGTCAAGGTGCGTCTTTGACCTCGCAGTGTTGGATCGTGAATTCTCTTGTTGTGCTGTTTGCCTATTTTGAAATCTCTGTAAATGAAAACTAAAGGGGTTGATATGTGCGAGTTAATGGCGCGCCTTATCAACACATTGTGTTGGAGTTCACTGCTTGTTTTACTCTCCCTCAATTTTACCTTTTCCAAGCTGAAACAGACTTAGTAATTGTTCAAAAAAAAGGAAAGAAAGAAAGCACTTCTAGTTTATTTTTTTAAAATCATCGGCTATGAAACTTTTTGACTTGGTTCTTGAATTCTCTTTCCGTTCTGATTTATAATGTTGGTTCTTTTTGCAGGTCGGTAACAGTTCTGAATATCAATTGATCCCACGTGATTCAGCATCTATTTGTATTGTGGTCCAAGGCTGTGCATCAAGTGAAAATTTAGTGCTAAAAAAAGGCAAAGTAATATTCCTCAATGCTAATCAATCTATGACCTTGAAAACTTCCCAAGATTCAGAAACATTTGTGTGCTTCCAAGCGTTTTGCAACTGCTAACAGTGCCTTTCAAGCTCTAATTCCAACGGAATGGAATATTTCATAAGCATTTTTGTCAAAACACACCATACATCTCAAGTATTTCTGTGGCATAACCTTAGCCAGAAAATTTCTATGTGTGCGTGGGGGGGGGGGGTTGACCTATTTACCCTTTATGAGAGGCTACTTATGATCACAAATTTTTGAAGGGTGGGGCAGGGGGGCCCTAGCCATACCCGTAGTGTTTGGATTCATTTATATGAGAACATAGTGCACAAGAATCTATGCATGATGCAAAGTTCCTCTGAATAGGTATAATGTTGATGCTAAAGTAACTAATAAGTCATGTTGTCAGTAATCTATAATTTTGTTTTCAAATATATGAAATAATGAATCCTTACATAAAGATGTCCTACCAGTTTTTGACAAGCTACCGAATCAGTTCTGTTTTAATGTAGCAGTGAGAAAATGACCTTCACTAATAGCTATCGGAGTTTCGAAGTTGGCTAATATGACCCGTTGTCATATTTATCAGTTTTTTGGGCTTAGCAATCCAATGGACCGGCTTCCTTGTCAACAATGCCTCAACTCTGAGCAGTTTGAACAAGAGCATCGAAATAAATCGGTTTTTCTAGACAGGTCTCAGTAACTGACAGCTCACAACTAAGGATTTGTTTGAACATCTCCAACCTTTTAGGGTATCACTGTCTCTCTTTTTTGTCTTTCTAATTAAATGTTGTACTGTTTAAAGTGCTAACAGCAGGAAGGATAAAATAAATATTTCATCATTCCTGCTATCAGCAGTTCCTTTGTCTTCATCTATTATTTTTACCTTTATCATTTGATCTATTGTTTCTCTGCTGAGTGCCCTCTTTTAAAGTCAATCCCAGCAGAATTTTCCAGTGAGGAAAAAGAGGAAATTACAAAATTAGCATGTAGATCATGAAAGATGATAAGACTCAATGCTGAATGTTGAGTCGTTGTCAATTTGAATTTGACTTATTATCTGCCATGCCCTTCATGCCTTCCAGTGATATCTGACTCTTTCTTAGCGAACAGTTTTATTGTGCAATGTTTAGTCATGTATTCATTTTTTTACGTTGTATGTTTTGTCTTCCAAGCATTTTGTTCGCTTTTGTCTCTTTATTGTTTTCATAAGTGTGTATATTAGAACGAAGCCGAAGATCGGTAATTTGACCGCAATTTCTCAGATCTTCCTCTTTTCGTATCCTGTTATTTCAAGTTATTTTCAAATACATGGTTTAATGCCTAGAATCTTATTTTGTACTTCTGCTCTCTCATCACAATAAAACCAAGAGAAGGTTAACCGATATAGTCAATTTGAGTAAATATTCTCATGTGGTCAATATTGGGTTGATTTCTCTATAACCAATCTGTCTCAAAGAATCAGTCTCTAATGTCTGACAATGAGAAATGAATCCTGTGAATATGTGATGCTCCATGATTTTAAATTTGTGGCATTGGATTTTGGGAATTGTCTGAAGATGAATTAGCACAATCATAATTAGCTTAAGAATGATCTCAGAAAAAGTAGGTCAGAAAATTGCTCTATTTTTATCAAGAAGCTCTGAGGAAAATCAGCTGAAGTTTTTGTGCAGAAGAATGAATTTTTTTGCGGAAAATATCACACCCTTGAAGATATTTTGTTACTGTGTATTGGATTAACACAATATGGTGGTTGATTTTAATATTTTTCTTTTTGTTTCATTTTCTCTGATCTTTTTACTATATCAGCTTTGTATCCCATTTTCATTTTAGACTGAAATTAATAAAAAAAATTTACAGAATTCACTTGAAAATTGTTTATTTCGATTCCCCAGAGTACCAGCAGCAGGAAGGTGCAAAAAATCCCTCAGTTCCAATACATTTAGGTATTACCTCAGAATTGAGGAATTTTTCGTAAAAGGGCGTAAGAGACATCCAGTGCTGCTAAGATGCAACGTAGTTCTCTAGTTGTAAGTAACTGATCCCACAGTTCTGTTATGAATTTTTCCCTAAATTTTCTCCAAGGTTTCCCTCCCTTTTGTTAGGAAGTAAGTCGACGTGACTGAATTTCATCTGCTGAAAACATTATAAAAAATTACACAATCTCAGAAGCATTGCAAGCCTCATACGCTCCTTTACGGAAAATGCTTGAATTGTATATCATTGGTGATTCCTGAACCAATAGTAATGTCACACAGGAAAAGTAAGAGTCTTCCTTTTTGCAAAAAGAAAACTGTGCGTACGGTTTCTAGGATCTCTGAAAATGTCTTATCTCTATAAATTTTGTAGAGAAATCGAGCAAGCTCCATCGTTCATTGTAGTAAGGGAGACATTTGATTTGATAAACATGAAAAACATGAACTCCTTATGCTTGAACTTTTCATATCAGCTATGAAGTTTTGACCAAGTGCAATTTCAAAGCAATCATCGTTAAAATTGTAACTTGTAAAAATGTCAAACTATAAGGATCAGAAATATCAAATGAAAGTAAAATAGAAATTCCTTCATTTAAAATTTTTACGATAAGATTAGGATAATTTTAATTCCTTTTTACACACTAGTGCACATGGGACAAGGGACCTTGGTACCAAGAGGTTGATTTTTTTGGGTGAGTTAATTTTGTTAAATTAGGCTAACAAATCAGAATTTGAGTGCCGTTTTATTAATTGTTTTGAATTTCCAAAAACTCCCATTTGGTTTTGCCTTTTTGGGCTTTTTTGACATCATGATCATAAACACTCATACATGCAGTGGCAACAGTGTCTCAGTTTTTCTTTTTAAGGAACCAAGGTCCCTATCCCAATAGGCCGTCATGTGTGCCAAATTTTGTGTTGAATCAAATTGTTTTCTACAAAATATCTGTAAAATGGAGGGGATGAGCAAAGAAGATTAAATTACGTAGTCTCAGTCATGATGAAAACTGACTGCATCCATATAAATCACTTTTAAGGAGATATATTTTTACAGAATTGGCTTACTTTTCCCACCTGCTGATGAAAAATCGGAGACATGAAGTGAGGCAAAGGGAACAATTTAACCTTCTTTAAGCCACCTTGTGAGGCATTTTTCACACGTTAACGGTAAACAGTTATGACAGCAGTAAAACTCATAACTATAAAATTTTAAAACTTTATTAAAACTCTTATTAAAAGCTGTAATTAGTGACACTAAACATTTTCATCATCATAAACTACTTCATAATATTGTTGAACAACAATAATATCACTGTGAATGTTAAATTTTGATGTATGAAAACTGCTTCAAAAGATGGCTGGAAGAAGTGCCAGAGATTTGCATCACCTAACCACATGTTTCCAGTTTTTCATCAGGTAGGAAAAGTTTGCCAACAGTGTAAAAATGAATCCTGATCAAGTTCAGGTTAGACTTTCATCGATGTTTTCTCTATTCACACATTTTTTAGCTGATAAACACTTGATCACGAAATGTGTAGGTGTTTCAGGAATGTAAATATAAAATGAATATGAAGGTATTGAAAAAAAAAGAATTTTTTCTTTATATTTTAAAAAACTTAATAGATCGCGTATTTACAGCTAATTATTTAAAATTATCAGAGAGAACTCTTATAAAAAAAGAGAAAAATATATGCTATTAAGTACATTAAAGTCTAATATCACAGTTCATCATTTTGATAATTGGACCAGTCATCCTCTGGTAACTTGTAGGTCCAGTTGTTGCTTTTTATCATACTAATACCTGCGCCATAGTATGGAATGATGTAATATGATCCATCTGCAGGTCCTACAATTTGCGTTGCAATTAGGATAATATCTATTAGTTGTCCAAGGAATAAAAATCCTAAAGTGCTCAGTTTAAGTAATCCCAATGCTGGATAGCCAAGATAAAACCTGTCTGCTCCGAACATGCCAAAGAAAATTGAAAGCAGTAGTGCTGTTTCAAATGAGTATCCATTTCTGCAAAAAAGGAAGGATTATTGTCATTAGTCATTCCAAACTCAAATGCTTCAGTTGAACCACAATGTAAGGGTATTTAAGCAGTATGCAGAGAAACATTTCGTTCAAGGCACCTATCACAGTATGCCTCATCATTTGATTTTCTCAGAAATCTGAGCAACATAATTATGAAATAAAGATATCGTATGAATTATTGTGAATTCAAGGAACTTTCCTTTTTTTCCGATCCAAATCGACGGTGTAAGTCGGCAATCACATAACTCAGTTTGCGACGTCGCAGACTTCCTATCATACTTTATTTTTTAAACGGAAAACTAATCAACGACGATTCTTTAAAACTGCCATGATTTTTCCTCTATGTGTGAAGAAAATTCTGCAAAAACTTCAAGGAATGATGTCAATTTTTTCTCCTTTAAAAAAATAACACAGAGGCGGAGATTTTCAGACACCGCAAACGAGTTATGTGATTGCCGACTTAAGTACACCGTCGAAATGTAATTTTAGCAGTCTTAATCAATTCCCAGATAATCAGACATTATTGATTATTCCCAGATAATATGGGATTATTGATTCTTCCTGGTCGGATCTCATTCCAAGAGAAGATGCAAGCATATGATTCTCCATCAATGGAATCAATAAATGCTTGAATTACACGTGCTGAACCTGCGATGCAATTTTGGTATAGCTTAGGCAAATTTTAATGGACCAGGTTTTTAAGTATTATCTATGTGTGTACATTTAAGGGCATTTGATGATTTTTTAATTAATTTATTCTAATTCTCTAATTAATTTAATTAAGTTTTGCCCCCATTAGGAAACAAAAATTGTGACTAGGCCACCCGGCTGCGGGACCCAGACCACAAGAGAGAACGAAGTTCTGAAAGGAAAACAACAACTTAATCTTTTGGGACGACAGAAGCACGGCCGGAAAGAACACACTCTACATACACTATTGAAAAATGAAAAGGACTTAAATATGGTTGGGGAACAGGTCCCCAACCTTTCAAAAAAGAATACTCACATTGTGACGCACGGTCTTGACCCGGGCCAAAAAACTACTGACTTCCCAACGGCTCTGGGCACGCCATCTCTCTCTGGCGAAACTACTTTTGATACATTACCTCGCTACAAAATGGGGGAAAATCCTACTCAAGTTGAAAGCTATCCTGCACTGACAAGACAGAAAAAGTAGTTAGAAATTTGATTGATTTGATACTCACGTCCATTTGCAAGGAATCTCCTGATAAAAAGTGGAGTTTTTGGTCTCATTGCAAATTATTCCATCAGCAGCCACGCATCGAACTGAGAACAAGAGACAAAAACATTTATAGATGTGCCTGATATAACTCTACAAAAACACAAAATTTAGGTGGTGTCCTGTCCTTACTTAGTGTTAAGAGCAAAATTTTCCTAAAAAAGGAGCTCCAGTTTTTAATAATGAGTGGTTCTATCGAAACATAACACAAAAAAATGATGAAAGTCTAATTTCTGTCAGTCCCTTGATCACTCATGGACTCAGGATATGGACAATTTCCAGATTGGGTGCAACTTAAATTTGCAAAGAAGTGCACACAGAATACTAAGCAATTTGGCGCCGATTAAATTTCGATATTATCCTCAGTCTGATGAGCGTTTGTGGTAGAGCTTTCTAGGTGCCAATCTAGAGAAAAGCGGGACTGGAAAGTTAATTATTTTGGCATTTATACTTACAATGTATGGTAGAGATGTTGCAACATCTCATTGGTAATCAACAATAGGAAAACAACAACATACGATTTGAGCGCCTCAAAATTGATCAGTAGGCACACTTTTTCTAATTAAGCACAAACAGTTAAGAAAGATGGTTTGATTCCACTGCAGTTGCTTAAAGCCACTATTTAAATAAAGCGCTTTAACACTAAACAATGTCGGTGGCGGCTGGGCAGGTGCTATAGTTAAAGACATTGAATCTCATAGACCGTACATCTGGCGTGGTTTAGTGCAGAGGAAGCACGGCAAGTTTCTCGAAACTCCATGATAGGCAGGCGAGGAGAGGGATCGAGCGTGTGTCCCAAGCACTCGAAGTGACTGCGGGGAAGCCTTGGAGAATTCATTTGCGAGCTCAGTCATTTGCTAATAACTAATTTATGGTCCATTTTTGGACAAAATTCTATAGACAACTGTTGTGGAGCATATAATTCAATGACCAAATTGCACAGTTTTACTTTTCGGAACTAATTACCAACCAAGAGAAGTGCCTCGCAATACAACAAAAATTCACTAGGGCCGCTGCTGCGCATGCAGTGGGACACGTAAGCTTCCTGATGCGAGGCAGCGGTGCTCTACACTCATCAGTCCGTGCGCCATGCAATTTTCTAAAAGTTAGCACAGGATGCACGGTCTGCGTGATTCAATGTCTTTGGCTATCATGCTTCACTGTTTAGGCCCTGGTCAAAGGAGTTGTCTTGGTCATCATCCGCGGGAGTTGAAAGTATTGAGCTGTTCTTGCTGTGACTATCTTCCTGATTTTTCCTGAAACAGCTCTCATTTCGAGCGATGTCCCAGTCAGGAGGTGACCTCCCTTAGCTCTGCGGTTACACAATCTTGTAATACTTATAGATAAGGTTCTATCAATATTATATGGTGCAATAAGCAAAAAAATGAGAGATTCTTCTGGAAAGAGATCATAGTTTAAGTTTGATTAAATTATAGTGCAATTCTGAAATGCAGAAACTGAAGGAATTACATACCAGTGGCTTTATTCTCTCGGGTACATCCTGCGGGTTGTTGAGTCTTCGGATCCATGTAATTATACTCTGGATCTGGATCAGGACACAAGAACTGGCCCATTTGCAGAGTATTACAATCAGTTGTAAAAGTTAATGATTCCCCATTGCCAGCTGCTGTACAGAGCCAGCACAAACAGAGCAAAGAGATCCACGGTAGACCTCTGACGACCATGCTTTACACATATCACTTCACAGATACCATTGTAATAGATTATAGGAAATACGATAGGATATGTAGAAATATACAGTCAGACAGAGTAAGGAAACAATTTCACATTTTTTTTTCTTTTTAATTAAGTATTCCTTGGGGGTTCCAATTTCCAATTAATTGTGCAAAAAACCTAACCTCCTGCATGTACAACACTTGGTGAAGTCGTCGTAAAGTGAATTTTAATTAAGTTCGCTGATAAAGCGTCTCTTAGAAAGCATAAATGCTGGAGGAAATAAATGAATGAGAATGACGAAGAAAATAAAGTCAGTCCAGTACTCCAATAGCACGACCTACAAGCACTACAAAATTACAAACGTTAGTGAGAGTGAGTGATACTGATAAGAGAAAAAACAATTAATAACACGCAGCCATGGCATCATGGCATGAACATCGTTCGCCAGCCAATCAGAGTCTCGGATTACGGCAAATACCAAACCGGAAAAGGAAAAGCAAAATAAAACTATACAGGTACTCTAAATAAAACCGGAAACCCGAAAATTACAGTGGAAGAAGATGCAAAAGTAGCGTCTAGAACTTGGAAATTGAATGAAACAGTTTTATTTTAGACATGAAGAAATTTAAAGAAAACTCGCCAATCTCTGCCAGGGAAGATCAGCACTCGTAAATTTCTGCTGCTCAAATTCAGAGCAAAACTATACTACTGATTTACTTTGGAAAAATGTCAGGAAAAATGCATTGGGGCTGACTGGGGTCGAGGTTTTGACGTTGCCGTTCTAACGCAATGTCTATGTTTCAACATTTGTATAAAGTAATAACAGTTCATCCACATTGTGCAGTTTGGAACTAAGTACAATTTATTCCTGGCTAATTTAGAAACACGTATGTTCCATTAGTCTCCTTAAGCACATGAGCGTTTTTAGGGATGAGCCAGAAATTGTAGTTTTTTATTGCAATTTGCACTCCAGTTAATATACAGGGTGTCCCAGAGCGCCCGTACCAGGCCTTTTTTTCGGTTGATTCATATCGGACAAAGTCAGCGACCGCAGTGTTATGAATAAGGCATCGACCCCAAGGAATTAGAATTTCATGGTCTCGAATCCCCCCCCCCCCCTCCGCCCCCCTTGGAAGGGGGGGGGGGGGTCGCGATCCTAAGAGTCGGGGTTCTCGATCTAATTTTCATTTGATTTCATTAAAACTGAAAAGTACGCAAAATTTCACGTGGAATCGACCCCTAAAAATCCAAAATCGGACCACTTTACGTCCAAAAATGATCCCTTAAAAAGGAGGACAGCGGCCTCCTCCATAATTTCCCTGCTTTCGTCAAAAACTATCGCAGACGCAGATTCTCCGGATAAAGGTGGTTTACCAAGTAACCGATCCCGAGGAATCCGATTTTTATGATCCCGAATCCCCCCTGGTCTCCCTTGGAGGGTAAGTGGAGAAGGCAAAATTTCAAAAGTCGGGGGAAATTTTGCCCTCCCCCCCCCATTTTATCCCCCAAGGGAAACTAGGGGGATTCGGGCCCATAAAAATCGGATTCCTTGGGATCGATTACCTGGCAAACCACCTTCGCCTGGAGAATCTGCGACAGTTTTTGACCAAAGAGAAATTATTGAGGGGGCCGCTGTCCCCCTTTGTAGGGACTCATTTTCGAGCGTAAAGTGGTCCGATTTTGGATTTTTAGGGGTCGATTTCACGTGAAATTTTTTATTGCATGCCATTTCGTACTTTTCAGATCTAATGAAATCGAATAAAAATTCGATCGAGGACCCCGACTTTTAGGATCGTGACCACCCCCCTTTACCTCCCAAGGGGAGCTGGGGGAGGGGGTGTTTCGAGATCATGAAATTCGAATTCCTTGGGGTCGATTCCCTATTCAACCCCGCGGTCGCTGACTTCGTCCGACCTAAATCAACCGAGAAAAAGGCCTGGCACGGGTGCTCTGGGACACTCTGAATACTTGATTAAGTAGTTTTAAAGGGAGAAAACTCTGTTTTCCCGTTTTTGTGATTTTTTCGGTCGTGCTTATTTTTTTTCCTGCATGGAAAGAGAAAGAGAGGAGTAAATGCTGCTCGCCGGCTTGAAAAGAATCAAAAGTCTTGCGGTATGAGCACGACTTGAAAAAAGTGAAGCGCACTAATTACTTAATTAATTGCCATTATTAATTGCCAACGCTCAATTTCCTGAAGTTTTAAAAACTTCTAAAAAAAATCGGTAGCTAAACTTTGGGGCCATTACATGCACGTTGAAATCTTGCACATGCGGCAGCAAAGCATGACCTCATTTCCATTTCTTAGAACTCAGTAAATCTGTGGCATAAATCAATAATTACAGCTCTTGAAACCCCTGTCAGTAATAATATTTCAAGCTGAGCTGGCATCCCCCAAACAGCATTTCAAAATAATAACTATTCCTTGCACATCATATCAAAATTTTAAAATTAATAGCTACATATTTTCAGATTTGATCCTGAGCTGATTTCGTGCTCGCTGGATGACTGATTATATCTAAATTTTTTCGTAACAAGTTTTTTGCCCGCCAAAAGTAGTCCTAGAATTATAGAGCAAATCAAACAGCTCGGAACCATAAGCTCACTTACTATTGGCTGACTTAATTTCCCTGTCGCATTTTTTCCAACGAGTTCGTTGATTTTTTCTGGTTTTTTTTTCAACTTTTTGCAACATGGCTGCCATTTCGATGAGGTGCCAACAGTGAAACTTAGAATCTCTATTTTCCATGATTAAATTTCATTTGCATTTTGTAGACCACGTACTTAGACATTCGTGAAAATTGAATGCACCAACAAATCTAAAACTCTCTCTAAATTCCTCCAAGTCGTTTTTCCTCGATTGAAGAGGCGATTCTTTGATGAAATACTGAGGACTCAGTATTAGTATTTTCGGTCTTTCAGTCATGTCGCCATGATGAAGTCGCCTGGACCAATCAGAGCTCGGGAATTTCATGTCTGAACTCCAGTGCGAGATTCCCGAATCAACCTTGTCCGATTCGGGAGTTCCAGGAATTCTTCCTGAATTGCACTGAATACTACTGAATAGCAAAGGCAGCGCTCCACCATCTCTTGCTTGCACTTCACCGCCTTCATCTGCGTCGCAACTGTTCGTCCGGCATGTGATTAACTTTTCAAACGAATCACGCGGTCGGTGAAATACGTGAGTAGATATTTAGTATCGTCCCCTTATCTGCGCCTTATTTTTATTTTAATATAGTTGTGTTTGAAGTAATTGTATCGAACAGTGCAGTGAGATTTGCTGCTGCATCAGGTTCAATTTGAGTATTTGTTATTGCGTTTGAAGTGCCGAACTTCTCTCCTCCTCTCAAGTGTGTGCACTCAAAATGAAACGAAATTTAACATTTGGGCTGGTACTTTCTTGAGTGCCACTCGGTTTGGAATCGGAATTCAATCCTTCTCTTCATGAAGTCCTGCTCTAATCTCGTTAGTAGGCCCAGCTTGGCTGCAGTTCTGTGATTCAGCACCAGCTCCTTGTTTCCATCATTGCTGCTTGAACTGTGTCTCCTTCGTGTAATCAAGGTTGGTTTTACTCATTAGTAATTATTGGGGATGATCCTTTTAGAGTGCAGTTAATTGATCCATCAGTTCCCGGAATGAGACAATGGGAGCACTCAGCCTAATTACTTGCCATGCCAAATTTTGAGTATTCGTTGTGAAAAGTGATGGGTTATGTTTGTTTTCGACATCAGCAAGTAGCGGATCAGTCCATAATTGTTCTGTCAGACCACAATAGTGAATCAGCACTAGTTTGCTCTTCTAATATAGCTTAGTTGAATCGTTACCTTACCATTGCAGTGAGGTACAGCTTCACTGCGTTTGACGATTTCCAAATGTAAAGCACAGTATGGTAGAATTTGCTGAAACTTTGCAGCATTTGCCTTTTTCCTCATTGCCCGCAAGTTACTTTCGGAACTGGTATCCATCATAATTAGTTTGAGGACTGATTCCACATTGTTTTGCAAGAGACTTGGACAGAGAATCTTTGTACAACATGTCTTACAACTCATTCATCGTACGTCAGATTTTATTAAACATTTATCTGATTGAAAACGTTGGTGACAGAAGTTCTTGTTAGCAAACTAAGTCATGGGACGGCATCACTGTCAGGTGCTATTACCAGTCAGTTTGACTTTCCACTAAAGAAAAAGTTTCTGAGATGTTTAGTAGAATTTAGATCTTAAGGTAGGTATGCTACAGAATTTTTTTTTTTTTTTTTTTCATCATCTTACAGTCCAATTTTAATCCGTTCAAGCTGCCTGAGGCCATCCCTTCATCAAGAATGCTGTATGACATTGGCACCTGATCCTATTGCTGATGTGTTAAATCCAAGCTGTTATGCAAATAACATACGCTAATATTTAGCCACTGAAGATTCTTTTAATATGGCAGGGGCTCAGCAATTGTCTGATCTCACATTCTATAGATCGCAGCAAATGTCAGGGATAGCCTGGATTGTGAAATAATTTTCATTCATGATGACTGCGTTATTTCTTTTATTTGCTCAGTACATTACTAAATGCGGGGCATTTTGGTTTACTTATACTCTGATGTCTGAGTCGGACTTTGATGTGCAAATGGGGAAATATGACCTTGAGGTAATTCGAAATCATATCTGTGAAGGTTCACCAGTGTCAGGTGAAAATTTTCACTTACTCTGGAAAAAAAAAAAACACATTGAATCTAGAGTCCAGACTCTTGAAAACATTGACAAGAAAAAGTACTCTTGATTCAATCAGATTTAAGCTTAAATCTGATTGAATCAAGAGTATTTTTTCTTGTTGATGTTTTTAAGAGTCTGGATGTTTTTAAGAGATCGAATGTGTTTTTTTATTCCAGTGTAATTATGCTCAACAACTCAAATGAGCCAAGTCATAAAGTGTCGAAAAAATTGGAATGTTCTAAGTTTACATCGCCTAAAAGGGGTAGGCTTTACACAAAGAGTGATGTCCAATAATGTAACTCCAATATCATTTACACATACCAGGTTATTGGTTCTGTCGCAGATCCCTTAGGTTTGCATGGGATGCGTAAGACAGGGTGTTGCCTCCTGGAGAAAGGAAATTTACACAGAGTATGGATTTTTATCTGAAGGCTTAGACAAGAGAGGTAGAATTCGCAAAAATCACAAGGTTAAATCACGTTGTGGAAGGAAAAAAAAATTTATAGTTGAAATGGAGCCATATTGTCAACCTCTGGCCAAAGTATCACAAGCGCCATGCGATGTTTAAAAATTTCTTCTGCCATTTTATGTTTTTACGGAGAAATTGTTCAACGAAGCTGTCAAAATGTCACTAAATTTTAAGAGCCCAAAGAGAATTCAGTGAAATTTTCGGACACCTTTGTTGAACAGTTTCTCTGTAAGAAAATAAAATGGCGGCGAAAATTGTTTGACGTCGCTTGGCGCTTGTTATACTTTGGCTAGAAGGTGACAATATGTAGGAACACGAATGTGTTTCAAGAAGCTGAAAATTCCAGCTAAACCTAAAAAAAACTTTGTGAGCATGCCTTACTTATCTAGGGTTGAGGAACTTCAAAATCTTTTGAGACGATGCTTTTTTCAGAGGAAAGTGCAGAAATCAACCCAGGTAGTAATCTGTATCAAGTAAGGAGTTGCAATAAAAATGGATCACTACAAACTTTCTCAAGAGAAAAAAAAGAGAAAGAAATAATAAAGAAGCCCTTTCGCACCTTGCAAAGATGATCACTCATATGTTTTTTCATTTTGGCTAACCTGGCAGAAAATTCCCCAAGGGTGCAGTGCGTTCACTCTCTCATGTTGACTGGACATAAAACTATAACATCACTTTTCTCAAATTTCAGTTGAAGTATTGCTTATTTTCAGAATGGCCTTGTGGATGAAAGCTCAACAGCTGCAGGGTCCTGCCCTGCATCATGTGCAAGCTCTATATGGGGACAGTTTCCCGATTGAAGTGCGGCATTTCCTTGCCTCATGGATTGAAGATAAGATGTGGTAAATAATGATTTTTTATTATAGCTTTTGCAACTGTTTTTCTTGTTTGTTTTTGAGCATAGTAAGATTTATTTTCATTAGATATAGTAGTTAGTTAAATAGTCTAGTTAGTCTAAAATGAAGATGTGAGCTGCCGCTAATGTTCCTTATTTTATAAAATGTATTCCTTCTCTTACTGTTTAGTGATATTTAATTTTTTTAAAGTAGAGTTGAGAATTTTCTGTTTTAATTCAGAATATTACTTTTCCCTTAGCTTTTTAGATCTTCTCATGACCTCTTGGTGTCATGCAAGTGTCAATCTTGCAGTTTTATTGATAGCATTTTCTCCTGTTGAACACATTAGCATTTTAGAAATGATTGAAGATAGTAGTCAAAAGCTCGAAACTAAAATCTGTATGAAATATCTAGGAAAAACTTGTACAGCTGTGTACTGTTTTGAACAGTGATAATAGAAAATACCATAATCCCAACAACTTTCAATTTTTGGTTCAATGAAACGTAAGCTTTCATATCATTAAACCGTCTCAATAAATAACGTGATTGTCAAATTATTCCTGTCAAAATCTACTGTCACATTTTACATCTAGGGCTGATATTGATCCTGACAATCCTCAGCATGAGCAGTACATTAGTCAATTTGTTGAGTCTCTCATACGGGAATTAGATGAAAAAATTCAAACCATCACAGCTGAGGATCTTTTCACCACAAAATTAAAATTGATGGAAGCTTCCAGTATGTTCAGAGTAAGTATTCTGCATTCCTATTTCTATGTCATCAGCATTTTGGTGGAGTAAAAAAGATTTTCAATCGTCATATACCCCATCACTTTAACATCTCTTAATAACACTTTTAATCTCCTCATTCCCCTCTTTTGTCAGTTTTAAGTATTATTTGTGAATTAATGTTACCTCCTGAAGGATCCGTTCACTCATTAATCACACGCATGCCTTTCAGTTGAATGAAACAGACTCAGGGTAAGAGTACAAAAATTTCTGAACCTTGCAATCGGGTAGGCGCAAAAATGGGAAGGAACTCCAAATGGGCTTTAAAAATGGGGAAACTAGTGCGAGTTGGCAGATAAAATTGCAAAATTTCTACAAAATCGAGATTTGAATTGCGCGTGTTTTACAATATTGCTGTGAAAATTTTGTATTTTTGCAAAATTGCGGCAATTTGTATGTAAAGAGCTGATGATATGCCGTCATTTTTAAATTTGACAAAAGAGAGGTTTTTAATATGGAGAGGCCAAGTACTTCCTGTATCCCTGAACCAGAACAACAATATGTAAGTAGTAAATGTAGGGTTGCCAGTAACCTGCTAAACGCAGGTAATGTAACACACACAGAGCATGTAAAAATGTATAAATTTCAGTGGACAACATGTATTTTAAAACATAGAGAATTTCAGCTCTCAACAGCAATTACAGAGGAAAATCGAAAATTTTGGCTGTTGGTAGGTAGTCATGGTTTTAAAACTAAATCTTGTATTTTTTTCTTTGTTTTGTACGCATTGGAGAAAAGTGAAGAAAACTGTCAGGAATTTACAAAGTGGAAAATACCAAAAACCCTGTTCAATTTATCACGAGATTGACTAGTTTTCACTCTTCAATTTGTATTTCTTGCTATTATGTCAATCACCGAGGCTCTTGCTAATAATAATGTCCAACTTTTATCACTATTGCGATCTTGAATTCCTTTCATTGATATTTAAAGTGAAAGTTATAGTCAAATAAGATGAAAGGTTGTCAAAAGTCTTATGGTGATACAATCATTATCTAAGTGTAGGGTTTTTAACATCTCATGCTGCCCCTAATGGTGGGAGACCAAAATGCCTCTTCCAAAGCAGTGGCTAACTCATTTTACTTGGACCGAAGCTAAGTTCCAAGACTTGTCTCCGTCACATCACATCCCTCAAATGAAGCAGCTTATTTTGATCCTTATTTTGGTTTGCAATCTTGGCAGTATTGAGGTTTCATAATTTTTGAGTGCAGTTGTAATATCACTGATAATATCTTGGACTTGTACCAGTACCTCAGGGTAATTTCTATATTCTATGTGCTCAGCATTTTTAATTTCTCAAGCACTCATTTCATGCATATTTCCGCATCCGTCCTCCTCGCATTTATTAGTAGAGTGTTTTTGTTAGTTGCTATAGGATTTCTGGTTTGGCTAATAATAATTTGGATTTGATTAAAGCTGTAGAGGCTATTCTGTTAGCACAACATAATGTCAATGCTGAATTATTTTAATGTTTTAACTTTGCCAGCCTCAAGTATTTGTACCAAAACTGTAATAGGTTGTATTGATGAAATCTTCCAACACCTCTGTTTTTTTTTATAGACACTGATCTACCTGAGTATTAACATTCATACCTAACACGCTTCCCTCATTTTTTCTGCTTCTCCTTTTTTTTTGATAGTGATTATTAATATTTACCACTATGTCTTTAATCCCTGCTATCATACTTTTTTTTTGTTTATGTTAGTGTTTTTAATGTGTGTGTTTGTGCATTTCTCATTTTTTTCTCAGCTTGCATCTGATGCACCATCCGCTTGCTTTCAATTATTTTTCATTTTTTTTATTCCTCTTTACTTCTCTATTTTATTTATAAATTTATTTGATGACAAAAACAGAACATCTATTTTTCAGAGGCCTTCATGTGGCATTATACCCTTAAAGTTTGAGAGCTCCGAGGTTGGCATTCAAACCAAAACTTGGATTCTTATCAGATGCATTAAATAGATGAACAAGTAAAGAGAAAATGTGATAAGCTTTCTTGAAATATCAAGTGAGGAAATGTGATTCTCAATCCACAAAGGAAGAGATTGTTATAATAGACCAAATGCTTTTGTTGGAAAATATTGATCTTATTATATATTCGTGAAAAACGTCCAAGATTCCTATGTTAAGATTTTGAGTGAACTTTTACAGCACAAACAAGCTTTAAAACAATTGAAGCTGAAATTTAAGCTATAACCTTTTTCTGTGATGGATCGAGGTTTAAAAAAATGACGATACCACATCCTGGTTAAGCTAATTTTGCATGGGCAGAGGACCCAAGAATTCCAAAAACTAACCTTTGAGAAGCAACTGTAAATTTAACTTATTCGTCACTTATTGTGTCTGACAGGGTAGTGAAGAATGACCTATCTTGCCTGAATAAAAGGCGTTTTATCTATCTTTTACAAATTTTGAAGAGCACCTCATTTAGTTCAGATGCAAATCTGCTCTTGCGAAGACATATCCTTTTGGCAGTAATCATATTCTCTGAAGTAGACATAAGTTGTAACCTTTTTTGTCCTAGCGGTCAAAGAAGATAGGATTTCAAATTCTATTCATATCCTAGCTGCATCAAGGATTTTTTATTTATGTGCGCAAATTATCATTTTGGTCCTTCCTTTTTTCCAGCAACGATTCAGTCATAATCCAGTCAGCCTCTTTCGGATCCTTAAGAATTGCCTCGACAATGAGATGAATCTAGTTAAAATTGCGGAGTCTGTAAGTATTTTTACAGCTGCTTTTTCCATATCTTATTAATTTCGTGACCATTTTTTCAAAATTCTTCAAACAGTGACCTTAAACTTTAAAGTTTTAATGATACTTTGAATAAGGGTAGCCTAGTAGATAGTAAGAATGAAACAGAATTGCGTTAAAATCAGAGTAGAAAGATGTTTTTCCCCTCAATCTTGTCTGCAGCAGTTTAATTTTATTTATTCTTTTTAATTTTTACACAATATTAACGTAAGTGCCGATCGGCTGAAGTATAGGTCATGAATGAGCCCAAATACTAAGTAAGCAAATGAATTCTGTTCACAACTAAGTATTACTTAGAATTACATTGATTTACAAAACCTACCATAGATCAATCTAATTTACGCAAGTTAGGGCAATCAACAGTATTTATTAGGAGCAAATCAGGAAATTATCAAAATCTTGACAGTATAAAAGTGACAATTTTTTTTTACTTTTTAACCTCGAAAAAATTTAATAACTTTAATGACAGAGGCTCTAAAAAGCAAGGAAGATGATTATTTTCCTCAGTTTCTCGATGTATTTGATTCAGCGAAAACAATTCTTGACTCTAGCTTTCTAAGGACGGGAGAACAGTGCCTTTCTATCAATCGTTTAACATTTTTTGGCAACCATTTTTAGCAGCAAAGCACGGGACAAGGCGTAAATGCTAATGGATTTCTTGGCATCATGGACCCACCGGCAGTGGAAATTATTCAAGAGCTGGACAAATTAAGAAGCAAAACTACCAAAATCGGAGAGTGTGTTCGTCGAGTTGAGCAGGAGCAGGAGTCCTTTGCAATACAGTATCATGAATTTTCAAAAGTCAGCCGTAAGTATCATTATGAACCATCTAAAGCCCTTTTCTAACCCTTTTTTAAACGGGTATTTTGATGGCTCTAGTGCGAAACAGCATATCTCTATTTCTGAAATTGTAGACCTGTTATACTTGATTTTTTTCTTTGGAAAACTAGACAATGTAATTCCTTGAAACCTGCCTTAATTTTTCTTCTCTGCCAGGAGAATATTCTGTCGGTGTAAATTTCAAGCCGTAGAGTAGGTCCCTCCCTTCAAAAAATAAAATAGGAGTGGAGATTTTGAAACATTGCATTGGAGGGAGGTAGGTGGTTTTGCACTTTAGCCATCAATTTTTATCAGATGTGAGTGAAGCCCCACTTTTTCTAACCTATTTGTAAGTCTGTGTCAACTGTAAAGAAGAGTGAATGCCCCCTCCTATGAACTCTTTTTTTTAAAGGATGGGGGTGACTTCTTTGGAGATTTTTGCAAGTTCACAAAGTTTTACTCTCTTAAATTTTATTTTAGCATCATCTCTGTTTTTGTTTACAGAAGCTGTGCAGGAATTTCAATCATCATCTGAAAACACCGCCATTGCCACCCCTGATTTTGAGAACGAGCTGAAATACCAAAAGGAAGCTCTGGAAAGAGCTCTTCATCAAAAGGTCAGCCTTTAATAAAATCATTAAAGTCCGTAAAAATATCACCCCTGGGAAGAAAAATTTCTACACCAAGTTTTTTGAAGTTCTCAAAATTATTTTGAAAATGGGACTGCTGAACATTATTTTTAAATTGTATATGGGAAGTACCTTCTCTAAAAATTCAGAGGTACCTACATTCTTCATGCTAATTCAACGGAACTTCGATTGAAAAAATGACTTTCAAAGTCACCCAAAATCCAACCCCTTTTCTAACAAAAAAATATTGCTCTATCTCATTTTGTGGTGTCTTAAGAAGCACTGACCACCATACATGTCTTCATCATTGTTGTCTAAGCTCTTGAACACTTTATGTTTAAGATCATGTTTTTGTGAAGTAAGGTAGTTAAGTTTTCATAATTTATAGCTCATGTTCTGTGCTCTTTCATTTTAACAGCAATTTTAAATCCATTAATGATCAAATAAAAGTCAGAAAAACGAAGGAGAAGGAGGGTTATGTACGGGCGAACATGGTATACGTCTATTTCTATAATCAAGAAACTTGAAGTTACATACTATCAACTAAGATTTATCCGATAGTCATTTGTTTCCGGATCAGTAATAATTTAAACATCACCTGACTTTAACTGAGAACGTCTGATGATCTTTACATTTGATGAATGGCTCTTTCAGATTAACCTTATTGGAACACTACATGCTGATCTGTCCAAGAAATTGCAAGACACAATTGCTCCTTTAGCCTCATTGCAAAGCCGCATATTAGATGAAGAATTAATCAAGTGGAAAAGAGACCAACAGCTAAGTGGAAATGGGCGAAAATTTACCAGCAACCTAGATAATATTCAAGAGTGGTAAGTGAGCTCATTTGATTCATTAAAGCAAGACATCGAACTTGCTCGTTATGTGTCAGTTGTTTGAATGGATGCTTTGCACTCGGAACAGATATTTCGACTCTCATTTCCCTGTCTCCAGTATTGCAACAGTAAATACTATGGAGATTCTCTTTAACAGACAATATGGTACCCCTAGTTTACTCTTAGAATCAAAGTGTCCTGCATAGCTGCTTTGAAAATGTTTAAATGGGTGTAAGGAACCACCAACATAGACCCATTAATGAGGATTAAATCCACCATCATAGTAGTAAACCGAAGTTTAAAAGATAATGGTAGTTAAAGCGTTTGTAAAACTTAAATTCCTGGTTTTTTCAATTACTTTTAGTCTGCCTTTCAATCAACTTTTGAAGAAAGAAATCTAGAAGTTGTCTTCAATTTTTCTTCATCTACAACTGGGATTAGAAAAAATATCTCCCACAATTGACTCCATCTTTTAGCTCTAAAAATATATCTATGATTCCAATAGGTGTGAAAGTCTGGCAGAAATAATTTGGTTCAATCGTCAGCATATCAAAGAGGCGGAACGACTAAAATCTATTATGGTAAGATTTTTCCGACCAGACAATGATGAGTTACCGAATCTTGAAGCTCAAATCACCCAGTTACTTTCATCTTTAATCACCAGGTATTTAAATCTATATCTCATGTTCATTTTTCCATTTAGTCTATAACTTTTAATTCGCAAGTATGACGAATTTTTATGCAGTGAAGCGTTATGTTGCAAATTCTGAGGGTTGAACGCATAATGTACTTCCAGGGGGATGAAATAAGGTCCAGAACTTTATTATGGAAAGTTTGTCCAAAGTCAGGAAACAAAATTGCTAGTAAATCATTTCAAAAAAGCACATAGATTTTGTTTCAGATAAGTATACTCTTCTCATGCGCCGGTGCAAAAAGAAGTAACTCTGTTTGTAGAAGCAGGTGATAAAAGTAACCCTATCTCAAGCAGAGTGAAGAAATACTTAATTTTTTGTTAAGAGCCTGTACTTATTTTTCTCATTAGCAAGGCAAAATAAAGACAAAGAACTTTGAAAATACTTGATTTTTTTTTAAGGATCTTGAAGAGTCTTCAGTCTGAATGCATCCAAATTTCAGTATGGTGAAGTACTGAGAAAGAAAATTGAACATAAGAGTGTTGAATCTGCTTCAATTTCATCCTCTATCTTAACTTTATCTTCCACTGAAGCAAATTTTGGACTAAATGTTGCTTAGGAATTGAGGCATTAGGTGCAGTAAGGGTATTTTGCTGTTGCAGTGTTTCAGAATTTCCACTGCTAATTTATATTCTAGAGATGTAACTATCAAGTGAATTTTCCGAAATTTCTCGTCCTGATCATGGTAAAATTATACAGGATGTTTAGGAAAAGGTTCAATGAATTACTTACTTTTGCATTGTTCACACTGGATGAAACATTAGCGAAGATTCTAAGACACTGTAACTGAGAAGTGCTCTGCACCCAGCGCTGCTAGTTGTAAAGAATTTGAATGTCAGGTTTAGTATATTTTAGGCTCGAGAAAATTTACTCTTTAATCTGGCAGCTGATTATTCTCCTATTCCTAGTCATCATTCAGTCACATTGAAAGAAGTTTTTGGTTTTATTAATTTAATTACTATTTATTTTCTCAGCACTTTCATCATCGAGAAACAACCACCACAAGTCATGAAAACCAACACGCGATTCACTGCATCAGTTAGACTTCTCGTCGGCGGAAAATTGAATGTTCATATGACCCCTCCAACTGTAAGCATCACAGTATTTGTTTTTTCATAATGGCTTATATCATAACTTGATATTCTACTTTTGAATCAATTTTGAATAAATCTTACCTTGTCATATCTGCACCTATATTTCTACTAAAAAGTCCATTTTCATGACCAAATAAACACATGTACTTTTCTAGTCCCTTATGAAAGTATGGGAAGCACAACCAATACCCTGTAAACAGACAGGACCTGTCAGGCCAGACTTCAAGGGGTGCAAAACTTCCACGATCGATGTGGTTGGTGGTGATTAAAATGTGAAGGCTGCTAAAAAGGAATTTTTAAATTGTGAAGACACCTGAAAATAGCGAAAAAATTTGAAGGCAGTACTACTTTCTGTAAATAAAACTACTAACCTTTCAGAGAGAAATTACGGATTGTGTATTTAATGCAAATAAAAAATTAAAGCGGGCAGTCTTATGTGGACAACATTGTGAAGGAAGGAGGTCTCATGTGGACAGCATTGTGGAGGCAACCTGAAAAATATGTGAAGGCTTCCTGAAAAATGTGAAGGCAAAAAAATCTCTGCACTCCTGCAGACTTCATCTGTCCAGTGGACATTAGCACAACCTTTTCAAATGTGCTTACCAAACTTTAGGAAACATCAAGATTGATAAAGTAACGTTTTGTCGTTCATTGTTCAAATTTATTTTAGTTCACGGTTTTTAGTAAGTACATATATGAAATTACTTGTTGAAAAAGGAAGGAAGAACAGAAGAATACTAGGAATAAAATTCTAAAAAAATTTGATTTAGGTCAGGCAACATTTAAGTGTAAATTGGAATGATCTGGAATGTTTTTTCCTCTTTTTTTCAAGGTAAGAGCTACAATTATCAGTGAAGCTCAAGCGATTTCCCTTTTGAAGAATGGTAAAGTAACATCAGGTGAAGCCAGCGGGGAAATAATAAACAATATAGGCACAATGGAATACCATCAAGCTACCAAACAACTCTCAGTCAGTTATAGGTGAGAAATCATCAGTTAATTTTTTTTTTTTAATTGTGAGAATCTCTTTTTTAGTTTAAGCCCAATGGGTCTGTGGCACGCAAGAAATACAGCCAAGTAAATAAATAATAGATTTTGGGGTTTAGCCAAGGTGTCGGATTCTAGATTATTAATAAAGTATTTCATATTAGCACACAGAATTGTTTACTTTTTTTACCTTATGCATTTCAACTCATACAGTCATTATCAGAGGTATTCAATTACTTGGACCTTTGAAATCTTGATATTATCATCACATACAGATTATACACACACTCGAAGAAGCACTGCTGAAAGAGCAAGTCGGCTAGCTGCACTACGTGTCAAGAGAAGTGTCCTGTGTGATGGTCAGGTGCCGAATGAGCCGAGATGATGTGGGCGCAGCTTTTATAGCGACAGTTGTTTGGACTGTTGCATGAGCGAAGCTCTGATTGTTTCGTGCGTTTTGTCACCACAATTTCACCAGCAAACAAAAGAATGCTGCATGGTGACCAACGGTCATCAAATGGTATATTGTGATCGGGCTTAGTTCGGAATTTTATTGCCCATCGAGACCTCTACCTCAACTATTTTCTGAACAGCAGAGCCCTGCAATGTACATCACTGATTTTTATTTATTCGTTTTTCTTTCTTCAGGAGCATGTCACTAAAGAAAATCAAGAGAGCTGACAAGAAGGGAGGCACAGAATCAGTCATGGATGAGAAGTTCTCCCTTCTTTTTTCCTCCCATTTCACTGTTGGTGGAGGCAAACTCGAGTTTCAAGTACGTGTATGCTGAAACCTACTTTTTATTTTTGTTTCTTAGGACATTTAGTCAATTTTTTCAGAGGCTGTGAAGCAAAGTCACTCTGCAATTTTTTTGACTTTGACTCCACCCCTCTCTCTTCTCACCAGATTTTTCTTGAATACTGAATTTTCAGAAAACTGTTTTGACATGAAAATCCAGAAGAGTTGATGAAGTAAGTTTGAATTTGATGATTTAACATGTTCCTGATGTAAATCATAGTAAATGCCCCCTTCTAATTTGTCTCAGCTGAAAAGAAAGCTGTAAGGATGAAGATTATCCCACTATCCACTCAATTTGTTCACTGTTACCTGGATCACTGTTATCCATATGAAGAGAGCCAGCTTTGTGCCCATCTCTTAAACGGTTGTCCAGGTAATCTTTTCCCTAAGGATTGTCCGGTCATACAAATTTTTGCTTGTCTCTCATCATCCATTCGGTCAATGTGCCCCAACCACATCCTCCATTCAGTTTCTGTTCATCGTCATTAATTCTCATCCATCTCTTGTTTTGCTCCATAGGTATGGACCCTTTCATTGCCTGTTGTTGTCATAGTACATGGTAACCAGGAACCGCACGCATGGGCCACTGTCACCTGGGACAATGCGTTTGCCGAACTTGGGCGTATACCGTTTGTCGTTCCAGAAAAGGTGTGTAACTGTTTGCCGGGTAATAAATTCCTTATCCTGCGGGATTGGAACTTACATCAACGCAGGTCATTGAAACATGAGAAATAATCTGCATCTCGATTGCGATCATTATACGCCAGTTTTGAAGACTGGGACGAATGAAAGTCACAACGTCCAACAGACATACTTCTATGCTAGTGCTTTATTTTGACACAAATCCATCGAAAGCGAAATACTCTGAGGAGCTCAGCTGTCATCAAATTATCGGTCAAACCATGTAACGTGTTGAAATAACTGAAATGGTCTGCAGAATTTAACTATCTAGCCTAATTCATGACCATAGAGTAACTCAGTTATAAAATTGTAAAACTTGGAAAGAGGTTAGAGGTTTGTGAATATTGAATTCTGGAAAAGCAAATAGTTCAATTATTCTTGAATAGGAATAATAAAAATATTTAATTATAAGAAAAGGAAAAGTTTGTCTTCATCAAAAACATCTGTCACATAATTAATTAAAATCGTCATTGCCTCATTTCAGTCTCATTTTTTCTCTCTGAAAGATTCTCTGAAATGATATCCAATAAAGAAGAACTGCTGTACATTGGTGACGTCTAGCGAGAGCTTGAGTCTCACGACTGCCGATACAAGTGAGAGGGAGAAATAAGGGCTTGGGTTCTGGTTCTGGGGTATCATATCGAATAACTTCGATGCCATGTATTTGCTTGCTGTGTTTTGTTAGAATGATATTCATTAATTTTTGTTTTTATTTCTTTTAGGTTCCTTGGTGTCAAATTGCAGATGCTCTCAATACTAAGTTTTGCGATGCCACCGGAAGGTCTCTCACTGAAGATAACCTTCACTTTCTTGCAGAGAAAGCCTTCAGGTGGGTTTCATAGCTACTATAGTATCAAATGTTTTATTGTACCCCCCTCCTAGGTCGGATTGCAGCGTGACCATGCTTGAGTTTGACATAAGTGGAAATTCAAGTTAAGAAATAGTTGAGGGCAAGTACGAAAAAAATCCCCAAGGGGAGGAAATTTGAGTCAAACCGAAGCTATTTTGCTTGCAATTCTTCAAGTTACACCTAAATTATTAACAATGTTAAATAGGGATTCAATGAGATCACATAAGAATTCATCTTAATGGGAATTTCGTCTTACGCAGCATTCAACGTAACGGGGTTCAATTGTACTAACAATTTGAATGATACATCGAGGTATGAGAAGATGGGGAGATACTGTCAAATCTTAGTGTGGCTGGACAAGCAGCACAGGAACCAATATTTTCTGGATGAAAGCCCAAGAGATTATGTGTGTCCTTAGAATGAAAAATAAAACTTTTCATAATTTTATTATCTTTTCACTGTTTGTGAGTTATTTTCCACAAGATCTCCAGGCAGAGTAAGAGTTCAATTACGATATTTTTCCTTCGTAAAACTTCATGCAGATCATGTTGTGTAGTGATTTATAGTGTCTCCATTTTTGGGTGAAAGCTGCCTCATGAGGCTCTGTAAAAGGAGAAATTCAAGTTAGCATTAAATTTATTGTTTTTTATGCTTGCAGGGCTGAACTGAAGGAATACAACAGTTTGTTACTAAGCTGGTCTCAATTTTGTAAAGAACCGTTACCCGACAGAAGCTTCACATTTTGGGAATGGTTTTATGCTGTTATGAAACTAACCAGAGAACATTTGAAAGGACCTTGGATGGATGGGTTCGTTCACTGCTATAATTTTCTATATTTAATTTTTAAGTTTCATTTAAATGAAAAGAGCTTGTGAAACTTTCTCAAGTGCCCCTTTTTTGCTGTCTGAAAACTGCAAGTTACGAGGTAGAAGAATAGTGCTGGGCTCACACTACTTTTGGGGAGAAATCAAAGCCAGAACCCCTTTTTTGATTGTTTCTGTTTTCCTTCTTTCAGCTTCATAAATATTCTGCCGTGCAAGGCAAAAACGCAATTTTAAATGTTATGGAAACAATGTATCATAGCAGAAAAACTTGTGTACCTTGGGACAATGTTGTTCCAGAATTCTTCTGCAAATACTATCAAGAACTTAACCTGAATATTTGGAGTGCTTGGGTGAAACGAGTTGTATTTTATCAAGTGTCAAGTTCTAAAAAATGCGGGAAAATTTTGATGGATTTTCGGCGTTCTAGCTTAGCATAGCAGTTTTCAGCAGCAACGACAGATGGCGAGAGGATTGCACTTCAGTGCCAGACTCACTTTCAGGCCTTGCCTTAGATCCATGACGTTTTAGTGCCATCCAGGATTTTGCAGGAGAATTTTGAGATTTGCTTGCCCCTTTGGTAAAATATAATTTCTTGTCAAGCAGCGTTTTAGTTTTGCCCAATTTATTTAAATTTTCTGTTTGATTTGTTTTGTTTTTCATGCAAACAGGCACATATTAGGATTTATTCGAAAGAAAAGAACAGAAGAAATGTTAGCTCAGTGTGAATACGGAACTTTTCTCCTTCGATTCTCAGATTCTGAGCTTGGTGGAATCACCATTGCTGCTGTAGGAGGTTAGTCAATATTCTTATTCTTGTTTCATAATAATTCTACCTTAATCTCTTCTTTCATTTCTTCATACATTCGAACTTTCTGCTTATGAAAAAACCATTATCTACTTGAATGAAATCGCACACTAAACGTTACCGTAACAGTCTTCAGAGTATGAAAATTTAAGAACCTCAATCTCAATGCTTCGGCTCAGTTGTTGCACGTTTTTGGTTTTTGAACAACGCAGGATGAGGGAAGGAACACTGCTCAGTTATGAAGCCTACCAAAATGTTGTATCGCATGATTTAATTCACATAGACTCTGATCTTTCCTGTGATAGGTAACTTCAAATTCTCCATAACCATTTTTTGTTAAAAATGTCAATATCTCAGCTAGGCGACAATTTCAATAATTCTCGTCTTAAATATGTTTTATGATTAATTTTTATAAAAAAATGCTTCTGTATATTTGGCCCCTCTTGACTTTTAGAAATCTATAGCAGTATATAAGGACAAGGAACAGGAGTATTGTTTAAAAAATCATGTTCAATCAAGAGATGATTGATAGAACAGTTTTTCGATGACTGAAAAACATGAGAGAATATTGTGCAACTATCAGAGTGAACTATTCAATATATCTTCTGTCTGCTTTCAGAAAACAAAGAGGTGGTCATGTTACAACCATTTACCGGTAAAGATTTTGCAATTAGAAGTATTGCTGATCGCATTTCAGACCTATCTCATAGGCTTGTTTACCTTTACCCTGATATATGCAAAGATCAAGCCTTCGGAAAGTATTACACCCCATTTTCAGGTAATTATCACACCTTTCCTGCCCTCTTATGTTTTTCCATTATGTCTCTGTATTTTCTATCCTTAAGTCCTTCCAAAAGCTCTCTTAGTATTATAATTCTTTCCCTTAAACAAAACATTAAACCTTATGAGAGAAATTAAGTGTCAGTCTAAGGCTAGTATGTACGATTCCAATTCCTATTAGTAACTGAACATCTTTAATTAGCGATGAAAAAAATACAAAACTCAAGAGTACCTCCCTTTGCCTTTGGAATATAAAGAGTTGTTTTATCAACATGCCACCATTTAAACATTGATAAGTACAAGTTTAAACAATATTTCGCATGTTTTTGTTCATTATCCCAACTCATATAATACTTATAACTTGCACTTGACTTCATACTTACGTATACTTTATAAGTTGTTTCAATTATAATTAGTTCTGACTTTTTTCATTGTGATTTTTTTTTTCTAACAATTTTTATCCGTCGTACAGAAAACCAAGCAACTGCAGGGAATGGGTATGTGAAACCTTTCCTAGTGACACACGTTCCAGGCTGGGGTGGCCCCTCTGGTCCAAGTATTGGAACAGGTAGTTATCCACCGACTCCACAAAACATGTTCCACCCACAGTCACCCATGGACAACTCATCCATTATCACTGAGTCTGTTGCCAGGTTAGTAACATTGTAACTGCATAACACCCTTGCCTAATTTTCCAACTTTTGAACAGAATTTCTTTTATTCGAACGGCAGCAATAATGCTGTTGTTTTTGAGCTTATAATTTAGTCAAGATGAAAGGTGCATTAATGTAATACTATTTTGATTGTATACGCAAAAAGTTTTCTGCAGATTAGCATTATTGTTGACTAATTGTTTTTCAGTGAAACTGAGCTAATTTGTAGGCCGAGTCTACATGAATTTGTGTGAAAAGTGTCAACATGGTGGTGTATCAGTCATCAAATATCTATGTCTTGATCCCAAGTTTAAAAAAGAAAGAGTGAAACAGCTGAGTTGACCTTTTTTTTATATGTGTATCATTTTCATTTTTTTAATTATCAGACTTTTAATTTTGACCTAGTTACCAATTCATCAGAGGAAACTCAATCTCCTAGTCAGTCAGATGTTTCAAATTCACAGAATTTTGTTTGAATTAAGACGGTCGTAGCCAACTCTGTAAATCTCTCATGAATGCGCGATCATAAATACATTAGTTAATAAATAATTCTTACATCACAACATATATCGATGAATGTGATGGACTTTGTGAGAGAACTTTCATCTCCTAAAGCAGAAATTGCGTTTGCAGAACAAAGGCTAGGTTTAGAGTCAGTCACCTGCCTTCCAAGTTTCTTTAAAGTTTTAAGTTGCTCAGATGCTTGATCTGATGAAACTAAGTGTCATTCTAGCTGTGTAATTCGAAGTTATCAGTTGTGAAATGTTCTATTCTATCCAAGCAAATCTATTCTTCTGAGGAGGATGATTTTCTTTTATTGTTTTCTGAATGGTTTCCATTGGTGTGCTCCCCCCCCCCCCCTTGCTCAAATTGCCTTATTTCATGGTGAATTGTTTCTGTGTTAAATAATGATAAGTAAACTGGGATTGTCTTTCATCTCCAAAACTTTATAATAGAGCAAGCATAATTCCAGTAAGAAAGCTCAGTATTATGTAAAAATCCTCATTTTTGTTTTAAAGAAGCAGGTTATGGTTTAGCTTCGTGTTTCAATGTCAAATTTAATATTGCACCAGTAGAACCCATCGAAAATCAATTGGTTCCTTTTAACATTCTCCATTCTTCCTCTTCTCTTTCCATGTAATCTAAGAATTAATTAATTAATATGGCATGATTAATTGACTTTGGTAAATGGTGCAAAATTGACTATTCCCTATTCAACACATTAACTGCCGCAGCATTTCCAGTAGTATGCCTGCTGCGCCACACGGGTCTAAATTCTTTTAAATAATTTCCACTGAGTGGAGAGAGCACTCTATCATCCCATATCTGAACTTCACATTTCACCATTGTTCGGAAGATAGCACTACCGCTGTCACAGAGTGATATCTATCATAAAAGCCAGTTTTTCGTGCCTCCCAACTTGTCACGATACATAAGACAAACTGTGGCGTGGCAGTTTATATGTTACATTCGGTGCTTGAAAGTTTAGAGCCTATCTCCATGTCCTTTAGGGGACTTGCAAGTCTTGAAAGTTAATGAAATCTAAAAATGAGTTTACAACAATTACCTCTTAAGTAACCACTTTTATATCTGTAGCAGAAATTTTCTGATCAGGCACATCTGGCACATACATCTAAAAAGTTTAGCCCCTTTCTGGGCCCTGAATGAATTAAAAGTTTTTGTAGAAGCAAAAGATTTATTTGCCTATGCATATGAGGACTTTTCCAACCAAACAGCATATGGTCCAAAAGTAGGTTTCAGAAAATCATATTTAAAGTTTTCATTCATACATTTATTTCTACATGATGTAACGTACCATGTCTGTGAAATGAAACTGCCCAAATTATATGTGGTGGTATTAGGAACCTTGCAGTTTTTTGGGTCCGTCAGTTTTAATCTTGAACTGGAAGTGTGTCAAAAAGTCTTGATAATTACAAACTAATGAAATTTATTCCTGATTGCCTCAGAATCAGGGATTTATATCATCTGCATTTTTAACAGCAGGATTGCCAGTAAAGTGGAAAATATTATTAAAGTGATCAACCAACATCTCTAAATGATGCTGGCTAAAACTTTTCAACGAGAGATCTAAAAATTGAATGAAGTAAAATTATATAAAAAGAATTTAAACATTAAATTCTCCAATAAGTAAAAATAAAGTAACAAAAATAGGAAACAAAATGAAACTGAGATTAAGCGCAAAATTATCAGGATCAAAAATTTTGAACAGCCTGTTCATCACCTAATATGATATAATAAGAAAGGAAGGTATCATTGGACCTTGACAATTGAAATCATTGTAGTGTTTAACAACATTTCCCATTAGAGTATCTCTTTTGTTCCTATGTTTTGTTTTATGATGACAAATGGTATTATCAGAAGCCAATTGAAGAGCTTAATTTGATATTTGTGTCGTCATAATTTTCCTTATGGGTGCAGATAAATACAGACCTTGTGATGCCCCATCAACAACAGATGCAAGAAGTGTCCAAGCATCATATGAAAAATTAAACTTGGAGAAATAATCATATATTTAGGTAATTATCACGAGACATATGTATTTTCTTATTCTGTCACAATGAGGCTCTGAGAATAGAATGATAAAGTGGCCAGTGGTCAGTGGCCATTTGGATTTTAGAAAACGTTTTCTCAGTGGTCATAGTATCAGATCTAATCTTGAATGCCCCATTAGATTTGCTCAAAAATTTTCCTTTTAATTTTATCTGAAATTTTGACGATTTCTCTTTTGGTGCTCTTAATGTTAAAGGTACCCTAAAACTGGTACCCAATCCATAGTATTAGTTGTGAAGGCTTTACCCCAATCTCAAGTAATCACTTTGTGGTATTTGCCCATCATTTTTTTATTTTTACATTCCATCATTCCTGTCTTAATCTTAGATAAAATCTGTTCCCTATCTATGAAAATTTCTTCAGCAAAGAAATTTATCTGATGACGGTATTCTGTCTTTTCACTTGTATGGATTGTTTCATTTTTCACCAGATTGTGTTAGTAATTAGCATTTTAACCCTCTCAAGTGTGTTAGCGAATTGGTATAATTGAGCTTTCTTTGTCAAATGATGATAAACGTTAGCTCTTATCTAGTGAAACTGAATGCTCAAAACATAAAACTTTAAATTACTCTTCCTTGCAGTCTATTTTTATACAAGTTTTACTAGAATATATCTGTCCAGTGTAGGGAGGAGGTCCAGTATAACTGTTAATGTAGTTTGTACTATTGTTAAGAAGATTTGTTTGTGTTAGAATTGTTTTTATTAATGACATCTAAAATTGTCATGAGCATCAACAAGTCTCAACTGCTCATTAACTTTTATAGTATTTTAGAACGTAAGGATCTCTATGTTCAAAAACATTATTCCGTAAGTGTGATATTAATTAAAGCAGATTATATACAGGGGTGCAGAATCTTTTCCCTTGCCTGTCTGTCGGTTCCCCACCAATTTTCCCACCAATACCCCGTTCATCGAATCCTTTCTGAACAATAGCGTTGATGAAACATATTTTCAAAAGTGATGACCATTTTCTTCTATTTACCTTGACTTTTGACTTTTCATCTTTAAACATTTTCCCTCCCTCCACACTTAATTGAGCTTTTTTAAATTTTCTTACAGCCGCCAAGGCGAGGCGTAGGATCAAGCATTATCTGCACCTCTAATTATATGTACATTAGGGCCAAAATTCTTGTCTAAAAATTTCATCCATCGACCATTTAATCCATAATCAAAGATTTGAGAAAGGTACCGAGAATCTCAAGGATTGATGAAAATGATCAAATCGTACCTCTTTAAACTTGCTATGCACCAATTAGTTTTCTTTGCTATCGCTGCAAGCTGCAATTAAAACTCAGGCAATTAATTTGACCTCGGAAAATGGAAATCGGAATGATTTTATCATTTAATCATATACTGTTATCAAAGGTATTATTGAAAATGACTTGGATCCTTCCTTCACTCAAAATGAGTGCCTACCGGAGTAACCACTCAGTGGTGCGGCTAATTTGTATTGTCATGGCTCGGATAAATTTTTCACTCAGCATTATTCAACACTGATCTAGTCTGTACATTGAAGGAATTATGACATTCTCATTCAAATTAAGGATCAATCTTGCCAGTAGCTTCATTGAAACAATTTCTAAGATTCTGTGATTTTGTTCCTCATTGCTTGTTAGCATTAGCATCCTGCAATAGGCATGACAACAGTTTTCGGCAAAACATTGAAGCATAAGTCCTACTTTGTCTTTTCCATGTGTCAAATTGTTTGTCTGTTTTGTCAACTTGTCTTTCATGTACTCTCGGTATTTTCAATATCGGAATTTGAACACGTAGCCTGCTACTAAGAAGTTCAAGTCTTGTTTTTGAAGGAGCTGAAGATTGTCTAAGAAGAAACAACAGGCTTAAAATATGCAACAAGACTTTTGGCCCTATTGTTTAGTTAAGAAAAGATCAAGAGACATGTATGTAATTTTCTATGTTTTCTTCAATCTATAAGATTATTTTTTCCCTTTTTATACCTTTCTTGTAAACTTTAAAGTAGTAGAGAAATGATTATGATTATAAATTAAGATGGCACCTTTAATCAGCAAAGCTATCTTGATCCTGTTTACCTAAAAAAAAAGAAAAACAAAACTCCATTCATCTTCACACACTTTTATCAGTTGAAAAATATTTGTAAATGTAAGTTTGTGTCTTTGATTTTAGTATTTCTGTGCAATATGATTATCGAATTGGAATCTAGTTTTCTTTTGTTATGCTTATCTATTCAAAAGATTGCCAAAATATGTTACTAATCGTTTTCTGTTGCATTAACTTTTTGTTTTGTTTTTTGTCTCATTAATTCAAGAGAGAGATTTTCTTTTATCTATTCTTTTAAATGGCCCTGTTTTAAAAAAAAATTTAAAATGTCTTTACATTCCATGTACATTTTCTCTTTTTCATCTTCTACCGGGAAATTCAACCAATGATTCCTCCAGAAAGTTGTTTGA